ATAGCAGTAGTAAGAAATGAATAAATCGTTAAATTTAAACTTGTAAATATTGGGTTCGAAAATTTATATACCGGGGTTGTACAATAATTTAGGTTCCGAAAATTTTGTAAAGATAATTTTTGAATTCTTTCGAATGGAGTAACATGAATTTCTCACACATTCATTAATTAACTAATTGAGTTGATTCCCTTCCCTTTCTTGTTAGGCCGTGTTTGGGTTCTTAGTATTTTGTACATTCCGTTATAAAATTCGTGAACTAAAGTATCGTCTGAGTTGCTATTGAAGACAGTGACTACTCCCGCAGTAAAATGGGCTAATTTGATAACCAACTCAGATGATATGATCCGGATTTGCTATTAAACAGATGTGAAGCTTAGCTACCTTCGTTGCCGTTTAGTACAAGTCTGTATTTCTCTCGAAAGTTTCTTTAGCTCCGCGATTAACGTTCTTTTGGTTTATTTATTATGATCCCTGTTCCCACCGTTAGTTAGACTTTTAGTGAATTTCCGATCAGTTGATTCGACTCTGAATTGTAAGTCGATGTATAGTGACTATCCCGCGTGGTTGAATGGGCTAATTCGGCTTCGCTCCCAGAGTCTGGTTTATACGATGTTATATAGCTTAGAACGTCATCCTCAGGGGTTGCGTCGCCAGGATATTAATCTTGTGGTCCATTAGGTTATAGTTAGGTTTGCAATTTCTCTGTCTCTCCCCGCCGTGTCTCTATATTTCCCGCTTTACGTATAACCGAATAGTCCTGACGAAGACCGTAGACTTGTTAGAACGCCGCGTACTACTGCTGGTTTGACCGCCGTTTTCCCGACACCATTTTAACACCTCATTTGTGCGATTGAGATTATATTTTGCCCATTACCTTCGGTTACGTTTTTCTTATTTTGTTCAGGGTTAGATCCAATAACTTGGGCGAGGGCTTGTAAACATAATTATTTAGCCGAAACGATTGTAACTACCGAAAGATATATGTCAAATTAAAAACTGGCATTTCATTCCCTTGTCGTAAGTCTCTCTTTCAGGTACTACATAACTACTGAAATATCGTTGACCCTCTGTAGCTACCTGTAGCCCTTCTTGGAACTAGTTCCAACAGGTAAAGTGGAGCAAACCACTCAAAACAAACTGGCGCCCGAGCACACCCAGTTCGAACGTCACAAATGAGCGTATTTCTAACCAGCTGAGAAAACCTCCCACAATATAATCAATATTTTTTTACAAATACATTTTTTACAATTATCTTGAAACGTCCATACTCCTATTACTAATTTATATGCATTTTATTTGCAACTTTTTGTGTCTTTTGGGTACCAAAATAGTTATTTATGCAACAAGTGCAAAAAGTAAGTGTTTATTGCACGCAACCTGACAACACGTCGAGTGCAATAAACACTTTTTGCACGAGTTGCATACAATATTTGTTCTACGTTCACGCAAAAACCAAAAAATGTTTTATATAACTGCTGTTGTATTATCCAAATCATAGTAGCCGTGATCGTGTACCTTTGTTTGAGGCATTTATTTACGTTTGTGTTCATAATTTGTAATGACATTTTTAATCAAATACAATTTTTTATTAATTGTTTTTAAAACGTAACACAGAAAATGAAAATGGACTAAATATTTGGCGTTGATTTGAATATTTATGTTTGTCATGTAGTAAAATGACAGATGAGTGCAATAAATTTTTTATTGCACTAGTGCAATAAAGACCCAGTTTTTTCACAAAATATAGTTCAATAAAGTTTTGTTTTTTGTATGAACGTAGAAAAAATTAATTTTATTGTGGGGCATATACTCATCTACATATCTCCTTAGGAGACTTATTTGCATCATTTTGTGCTTTGTGGGTACCACACTAATTTTGTTGTGTACCGAAAATTTTAGACTATAAACTATTTAAATGTACGTATCAATTATCAGGTAATACAAAGGCAAACTTTCATTAGGTACATTAAAATGGAGCAAACCACTCTAAAACAAACTGGCGCCCGAGTATTCCCAGTTCGAACGTCACAAGTGAGAGTATTTCTAACCAATTGGAAAAACCTCTCACAATGGTATGGGGGATTAAGTGGCACATTATTTGAAAGGTATTTCGATTCTCTTTACAGACATGCTAACATTTTTGTGTTGTCAAAATTAATGGCAAAAACCAGTTTAAAATGTCCGTTAAAACGGGCCTCCCAGCTGTAGACCAAAAGTTAAATCGACCGATTTCCGAAAGTAGGGCATTAAAAAATTTAATATTCATCGCAGTTAGAGATAAAAGTCTAACTTACTATTTTAAATTAATAACGTTTTTTAATAAAAACCATAATTTTAAAATAATACCATTTTTTCCATGGAGACATTTAACAGTTTTTTTCTTTAAAATTATTTTTTTAATTGAAAATTATTCATCAATTTAAAATAGTAAGACCACCTAAGTAAGACCTTTATCTTTAATTTGGATGTTTGGCTGAAAATTACATTTTTAAATTTAACATCTTTGGAAATCCTTGGTGTACAGGTTTACATAGGCAGATCTCGTTTTTAAAGAAATTTGAATAAAAATTTATAGCTAGATACTAAAACAGCATAAATAGCTATTTGTGTATTAAGAGCGGAAAGTGCTACTTTGCCGCTTAAGTTAAAAAGTTGCCTCGCGACGTGCAGTGGAGTGTGGAATTTTATCGTAAGCTGTAAATAGCTTTCCGCTCGAATTACGCACAAGATTTTTTCTACAATCACACGATATTAAAAGTATTAGTTTTATTTTGCAGAATTCAAATCTTACTACGTTAATTTGACAGACACGGCTAACGAAAAATATGTTGTGTATATTGTGTTGCCTGCTTACTCTAGGATTAATTTTATGATAGGTATAAAACATATTTGTTAGTAAGTACATCTTAAAAATAACTTACAAGATCATCGCTTAGAATACTCAAATCGCAAATTAATGGCTCATACAGTTTTAAGTTTTATTTAATTTTACAAACAAGAAAATCAATTTAAATGATTGAACTCACGACCATCATGTTCAAAGACAAACGCGCTAGGCTCTACACCAACAAAACATGTTAAATGTGAGTGTTAAAAACAGAGTAATTTATTTTTAATATTTTAAATATTAAGAAAAATGAGTTTGAGTATTAAATGTTTAACTAAAAGATTCAAATTAGTCTATATTTTCTTTTAAAATACAGATTAGCTTTATAATAACAGCCTAGCTAATGAAAATAGGCGTGCACAAAAAGTAACTTTCCGCCTACATGCGGCAATAATGTCAAACTATGACAATTCATGGAAAACGACAACTTAACAGTTAGATTTGAATGTGCAAAAGCCAAAGGGCTAGTGATCGTAGAAGAAGATATTTATCACCATTTAATGAGATAAGATAATGCTTTTTAGTATAATTTTATGAATACCTAATTTTATTTTAGTGAAATTTCTTCATTTGCTATTTGAAAGTAAGTGAACTTAATTATCATGGTTTACACCACTGTAGAGAGAATTAAAATTGTCGCACACTATTTTAGAAACGAGTCTTCTCGGGCAGCTGCAAGAGTTTTTAATGAACGGTATCCCGGTAAGAATGTAAGACATCTCGCTATGTCTCTTCAAGCACGAGACAAGTAGCCCGCAGCTCCAGGTATTCCAAGTAGAAGCCTTCAGAGGGTCTTGAAACAGCATAAATTCCATCCCTATAAGATTCATCTCGAGAAAGAGCACGTTTTATATTCAACATGCTTTTCTGATGAATACACGTTTATTCTTAATGGTCACGTGAACAGACATAATTGCAGATACAATAATATGAAAGAACAACATACACAGAATCCCCAAAATTGAATGTTAATACATGCTGGGGTTTTTGGAAATAATATTGTTGGTCCGTTTTTCCTACCTCATAACTTGACGGATGAATCTTATCTTAATTTGCTCGAAGACAATAATTACCCTCACATTAAGTAATGAAAATAATGGAAAACGATGATCAGATCCCAAAAAATGATTATTTTTCAACAGGATGGCGCTCCATCACACTATGCAGCTCCTGTGCGTGACTTTTTAAATCAACATTTTCCCGCACATTCGATTGGTAGAAGAGGTTCTATTGAATGGACCCCGAGATCGCCAGAATTAACGTCGTTGGACTTCTTCTTATAATGTTTTTTAGAAAGTGTTACTTACAAAACGCAACCGAACTCTAGATGATCTTCACCACCAGATAACTGTGGCATGTCGTGAAATAACTACAAAATGTTCAGTACAGTTTGGAAGTAAATAAATCGCAATTTGAACACTTACTTTAATTAAAACTGTTCAGGCAACTTTTTTTTAATTTCTTTCACCCACAATTCCAGCTGGTTTTTGGTATTAATTTTAGCACTTAACACAAAAAGGTTAGCATGTTTGTAAAGAGAATCGAAATACTTTTAAAATGATGAGCCACTCGACCCCCCATGCCATGCCACCCCTTTTAGGGGGATGACCGTACAACCATGAGTTAATGATCAATAGTTGTCTCCTTCGATAACAAAATCGACATGTCTCGGGGTTTGTCGCAAAAACCTTCCTCACCAATAATATTTGAGGTGGACTGTTTTTAATGCCCGTATATCTTCATTCTAGTTCAGCTTTACTTTTCATACACAAATCCAGGCATTTCTGTTCAATGGTCGTGCGTACATGATGCACGAATACATTCATATACCCGACTGTAAAGCACATATCCACAGTTGCCGATTTGTTTTCACTTCTGTCGGCAAAGGATCTTGGGATTTAAATTTACTTGCAAGTATGCACAGTGATATTAATGTAGAATCCAAAAATGTTCTTTGATATCTCGATCCGTTTTCGAGTTATTGATAAAATGTAAAATCTTCGTTTCTTGTCTTTGGGCTACTTTTTTTTTTTCAGTTGTGTTTTGTACATTGTAGAAAAGAAGATCCGACATTTCTTCTATATGAAAGGGTAAAAAATATAGCATTCGAAAATGTTTTTATAATAGTTTATTAATTGCAATAAAATGCAAGACATTTTTGTTGAATTCTTGCTAACTAAATTAAAATAATTTCTAGCTATAATAAAATAATACCTAATTAAAAGTGTTCTATACAAACAAAAATCAAAAACAGCAGATTTTCGTAAATTCTGTATCTATCAATTAAAAACCTCAATCTATTTAACATTCAAGATTTTTCAGAATCGCGTCTGCGAGAAATTGTCGAATTATCAGAGAGACTTTTAGTTATTTTTTCATGTTCTTTATTTGAATTATTATTTATATTGTTGCTTGATAGAGTTATATTTGTTGTAGAATTACTGGGCGAAAACTCTAAAGACATCGGCATTTGACATGTGCTTGAAACGCCATCTATCGATGTACTTGCTCTTCTAGAGATGTTCCGTGCTATTGAAGCGGCGTGCTCTGCTTCGTCTACTTTTATGGTTGTAAATCTCTGACTTTTTGTCACCTAAAATTAAGCCAAATGATATATTTTTTTAAACCACGACCTGTTGAAATGTTGCCAGTGGGAATTGACAGTTTAGATATGGCAACCCTGTAAGCCTGTTGTCATTGATAGGATCAATGATATAGTTATAGATTGTTCAAAGCGGGTCGTTTGCGAGCGGCCATATTTCCTGACAAGTGCTCCGAAGGCGGAGCCCTGAAAGCATCCGAGCCCTGTAAATACACTTTCCGAGTGTGGCGCGTACAATATTTTTTGTGCTGCCACTAATAATATAAGAACAGAATATTTATTGCTCAAAATTTATAATAAAACTTAACTAATTTATTATTAACATCTACTGACAGATGGCTACGGTATTGCCATGGCAACTGTGATATTTAACATACCCTTCGAAAATTATATCTGGCTAGATGCTAGTACTTTCTCTTTAATGAAAATTTCGACATAAGAGCTCGGGAAAGTAGGTACTTTGACGAGCATTTATGTCACTTTTCCGAGAGGTTATGTCAATTTTTATGGTCTAGACCGGCAAAGACGTACTTTCCGAGCTTAAAAATGATCGGAAAAACGCATTTTCTAAAGTGGCAGCACAAAAAACCAATTTTCAGTCTCTGAATATATTAACAAAATTACCTACAATTGTACTTCAAGGCATAAGTTTGTTTATTTTTAAAAACATGGATGATCAATCTATATAACTTTCTATGTCATTGATCCTGTCAAATCACCAGGCCCACAATGTTGCCATATCATAACCTAGCAGTAACCTGTCATTACCTACGGGCAACAATTTTCTTTGAAATGTCTAATGGTAAATTTAGGAAATGAAGGGTGAGAAAGAAAAGTCTTTTTTCTACACCTACATTAATATTAGCTTATCTACGTACAGATTACAAAACGAAAAAGTATGCTATTGCCTTCCACTGAACGAATATATTTCATATCCATTCTAAGTAGCAAAAAAAATTAAATCCGCCAATCACCGTTCATATTTTGATCAATCGACTGCTATTATTTTTAAAATTTTAAAGTTACAATTCTGTCAAACTAATTGTCAGTATATTTTTTAGTTATTGAGAAAAAACATTACATTAAAATGGGTTATTCTTGTGTAGAATCGATAAATAATAGCATTTCTGTTTTTATTTCGTCTTACAATTATAAATAATTTGTTAATTTACATAAAACTGTATTAAGTCAATTTAAAGCGACAAAAGTAAAAGAATAGATGGTTCTGTGGTCAGCGTTCTTGCCTTCCACACGGAAAACTCGAGTTCGATTCTTGGATTGAAAAAAATGAAATGAACTTTTTTTTTGTTTATTTTATTTTAAAAATTTTTAAAAGTCATAAATTATTTTAAAATTAGTTATTTTGTCTTAGTAACCTAAAATATTTTTTTTAATTGTAAATTTTCGTTAGTAGTAGAAAAAATATTCTGAACAACTCAGACGATTGAGCACTCCGCTTACGGCGTCGTGCTCAAATTTCGTCTTAGTGCGATATGGTCATCATATCCAATCTTGTTGCACAAACTACTATTATATCTCACAATCGCACGCGAGCGGCCAAAATGAGAGAAAGAGAGAGAGAAGTTACACAAAATTTCGAATGATGATTTCATGAAAGCCTGAAAGTTGCAGGTACAGGAAGAAAAGAGTATTTTGCAAGACATAGACAGTATACAACTCTTTAATGAAATAACTTTATTCAAAGATATTTTTCCAGGAAAAAAAAAGCCAAATGAAATACTAGAAATTATAGTCAAAAATGATATCATTCCCGGTTTTCCAAATTTTGCTTCACCAATAAGATGTTTTTAATCTTACTGTAGAAATAATATGACGCAAGAAATACGTTCAGATTTGGCCATCATCTCTTTCTTTGAATCCAAAATCTTTCTTGAGGTACTCCATAAACTATTTTTTTTTTCATTTATAAAATTTGAGTTCTGTTTTGTAAATAACTTTGCAAAAGGGAAAAGCAATTTCCCCTTATTCCTACCTCTTCTAATGTTTCTAATAGTAATGTGTGACTAACTGTATCGAAAGCCTTTGCCAAGTCAATAAATACAGGGTGTCCCGAAATTAGACGGTCATATTTTAGTAGCGTAATCTACAAGTAGAAATTCATTTAAACATAGGTCCGAAAACGTTTCGTTTTCGAGATACCTGGTGTTACAAGTGAAGGTAGTCCTAATGGCACATTTTTGTAAATATTTTCTAAAATTTTTTTAGTCACCGATTTTCCAAAGTTAAAAAAAAAATAAAATTTCTGATTCTACAGGCCTACTAATTATTCTTTACACTTTCGAATAAGATAATGTCAACTTATCATGAATTTTCAAATGCTTTTATCTTGTAAAACGGTGCGTCCTAACGATATACAATGAAAGCAACTTTATTATAAAGAAAATATTGATTTGCCAAATTTTGTAGTTAAAAATGGTAAAAACAGTCAACAAAAAAACTTAAGACAATTTAACCCTAATCCCCTCCACTAATTTACCCACCTATGAAGATAATCAAAAACTGGCTTTTAGTCCATTAAAAAATAGAGCGTAAAAAGTGTAGCATTTGTACCAAATTTAACTTATCTTTAAAAGTTTAGAAAATATTTACAAAAATGTATCATCACGACTTCACTTTTAACACCCTGTATATCGGAAACAAAACGTTTTCGGACCTATGTTTATATAAAGTTTTACTCCTATTTTAGGATGTAGATTACGCTGTTGAAACATGACCGTCTAATTTCGAGACATCCTGTATACACAGATACGGTTTTTCTCTCTCCAAGGCACCATTGATTTTGTTAGTTAGTTAGTTAGTATGTGGGTTCTTCTAAAATTCAAGCATTACGTTCAGTGAATTCAAAGGTTTTTTTTATCTGCTTTACAAGTTCAAGCTTTCGAAATTGTTTTTCAATTTTACTAATTATCCTTTGAGATACAGATATCAAATCGGAAAATATTTCTTGAACCAGGCGAACAACTTCGATCTGTGTTTTGTGTTTTATTTCCGTAACCAATCATCTGTAAAATTGTTTTTTTGCATTTCTCGTAAACGTCGTATTGGTGGTGAAAAGAGCTAAGCCACACATTTATTAATTGAAGAAAATGGGTAAATAAGTTTGTAACTCTTAGGTTAAAACAACTTTTGATTTAAATATTAAGTTATTTATGTACTAAATATGATAAAATTTGGTACACACGAAAACACGTCCTTCATTTTAAGACTGATTTAAAAACGAACCACTAAAAGACATATATTTATTTTCACTTAGCTTCTTTCAATTTGGGGGATTTTAAGGTTATAACTTCAAAATCGCTTATCTCTCTTCACCACTGTATTTTTCAGAGTGGTTTTATTTATGTGATATAATTAATTCATTTTGTCAAAATGTGGCTTAGCTCTTTTTACCACCAATACGATGTAAATAGAATATATTTCTGATCTGCGGTTACAATCACGCAGTAAGTTGATAAGGCGTTTGAAATAAAATTAAAATGAAGAATGTTATGACATTTTTTTTATTAATACCGTCGAAAAAGGCCATTGAAATTTGTTTTACTTGCTTTTTCAATATCAAACGAAACTTTATTAGTTATTAATAGTTTATTTTTGCAATAAATTTGAAATTCACATTATTTTTGAATAGAGAATAAAGAGACCTTTTAAATGAAATCTTATTCACAAATTTGGGAGTTGCAATTGTAGGGGAGTGAAATTGTCACGTTGCAGAATGTCATTTTATAATAATAATTGATGTTTCGGAATTTTTTATAAATATGCACAGTAATTGAGTTACCGAATTTATTTTATTTGTCTCAACCGCAAAATTAAACACATATCTGATTAACGTCTCGCAAATTTCTTTCTTAATTTTTTTACTTTTTAAACAAAGATGATTTTTGATAGTATAAAATCAAATTTTAGTTAATTTTGTAAAAAAATATAATTAACACGTTAAGCGCCATGCGATATAATGAGCGTGTTACATCTCATTTGACCCTTTGAGCTTCGTGACATGCATGTTATGTCTCACTGCTGACAGTTCTGTTTGGCAATATTAACGGTTATCGATTGAAAATATTTTTATTAAAATTTTTGTAACCAAAATTTTTTTGTTTATTAATTTTGAAGGTATTCTGGAACTTCATGGAAAATATTATTATTTAATTACTTACACAACTGGCTGCGTCTGATAATATCAATGAATCGCAGGTACCACTACTCCCGGATTGAGTTAGCTCATCTAACATTTTCGTCTTAAAAGCAGTTATTTCTTTGCCTACATTTCTGGTCTCTTTATTTATAACTGGTAAATTTGACGATCTTGCTAACGGACTGTCACTTGCTCTTCTTTGTATATTACACATATCAATTTGACTGCTACTGGTGGGTGATTTTCCGTGAAAGCTTTTCGATACTCTAGAAATTTTTAGCGGTTCTATATATGTTTCCTTAACCATCACCGCTCCGGGTTTAATTTTCGTTAACTCATTGTCTTTTTCGACTTTCTTTTCGACACTAAAATTAAGATTTTTACCAAAATCGATATTATCCGTTTTGATAAAATTCTTGTTTTCCAAAAATTTTTCTTTTGATGTCGACCACTTATCCGAACTTGCAATAGAAAGGTTCTTTGCCACATTAGGAACCTCTTTATCGAAAATATTCGATTTCTTAATAATAGTTTTCAGATCGTTTTTATCAAATTCGTTAACTATTCTACTGGTGGACGGTTGAAGTCGTTCTGCATTTTCTACGTGTTTCAATTGGAAAGGATCTGCATTTAAAACGTTAGTACAGAGATTTATGTTTGAACTTAAAGGTGAAATCAGCTTCGGACTGCCTATTGCCGATTGGAATAAATTATTGGTGTCTATAGATCGAGAATTACCAGGAGCATTGTATATATTTGTAAAAGAATTTACTCTAGCGCTAGTGATAGTTTCGTTATTTGGATCTAAATTGTCATCAATAGGATTACCGTCTATATCTTCTGTTACTGTAATGTCACAATCTGCACTCGAACCCATTGTGGCATCATTTGTATTAAAATCTACTTCTGAACCAGACACCGGAGTAATTTCTCCACTTTCAGATACTAAAAAAATTATTACATCAAATTATAATCAACTATCAAAACAAAAATATATGTAAAAATGTAGAAAAAAAAAACCTCAATATTAGCAATAATATCAAATCTTTTTAAATTACAAACGTAGAAGGTACCAGATCCCTGTATGTAGTTTTTATTAAGTATTTTTAAATAATTGATTCATCGAAATAATGAATTAATCAAAATAATCTGTTAAGCTTAATTTATAACCGGCGTAACATAACTTAAGAACTTAACGTAAGAAGTTGAAATATTGAATTTACGTATACTTATTTATAAATATTCGTAACGTAACTTAAGAACTTAACGTACCTACCGTAGAAAGTTCGCCAACTTTTAACTTAACAACTTAAAACCTTACGGTCAGCCAATGAGATAATTCTGAGTTCAGCATGTGATAACTGTCAATTATTCTTTTTATTTATTTTTTATAAATGAATGGACAAATACCATTTGTAAACTATCATTCTCCTTTTTGATGGACATACATTATCATGAATGATTTGTGTTTATGTTATTGGGGATAAACTATTTATGAGATATGAGTGTTGCTGCATATACCTATAAACATCAAGTGTAGAACTGAAAACTAGTTTGCTAGGAAATATCAAATTCTCATTATTGCTCAAAAACAATCAACATATTCGGTAAACTATTCTGTTTTATTATATTTTTATATTATTGCTTTTAAAGTAGTTAATATATTTTTTCTATATAGCAAAATCATAATTTATGAGGTTTATTTGGAGGTTAGGTACATAGTTTACACTTGTTTATTTCATAAGGTTGTCAGTAATTTGATAATCTCTGAAATACAACACGCATGCTCAACTCTTACGTTACAGATATTTATAAATAGAATTTATTTTTATATCTTACGTTAAGTTTCTACGGCGTTAAGTTAAGTTACGGTGGTTATAAATTATACTTTAGCGAAATAATCAATAAATCGAAATAATCGATTGATAAAAAATAATCGATTTTTCAAAAAAAAAATCAACTAATCGATTATTTTGCCCGCCATAGTACGAACGGTATTCAACAATTTGGGAAAATAAAACAGATAATTTCATTATAAATAACCTAGTGAACTTTTTTTTAAATACATTTTTTATAGGAAGAAGGCGAAGATCTTAAAAAAAATTATAAACCTACCTCTCGGCTTGGAATTATTCGAGTAATATTCAGAAAATTCCATCGATTCCGATATATCCTTATCGAATGAATCTAACAGCATTCCGACACTGCCTAAATCTTGATCCAGACCTGGAGCTGTTGGGAACATTTTATTGAGGTTATCAACTGTAATCCTAAAACATAAAAACAATAAACAAATACTGAGTACTAAAACGATTCATGCTAAAACAAATAAGAATATGTCTATAATACAGAGTCTTCAACAATATCCATTTATCAATAATATTTTACGTTACAAGTCCGGTAGGTGGCTAATTATTACAGTACGAGTTGTTTTACGGACGAGGCGACGCAGAAGCCGAGTTAGGAATATAAACTAATGCAAACAAAAAATCATCAGAAGAAAGGGACTGAACCTAAACTGAAATTAAAGACTAATAGTAAGATTTTAGAATATTGTTCTGCAATTAACATTCATAATTATTAAATTAATTGCAGCTTTGTTCACCCTACATATAAAATCAGATAAGATGGTTTCTTACAAGCATTAAACACAACCAAGAGCAAAAAAATCAAAGGGCTTTACTAGAACATACTTTATTGAAAAAAGGATTTGCTACAGGAAGTTTTTAGTAAAAAGTAGTTAGAAATAATTTTATAGAAGAAAACAAGGGTGTGTTGGGACTTCATAAGAAACATACAATATATTTCTGAAATGAAACACATATTTTAATCAGTTCCTAGTTTTTATGTATGAAAATTAGGAGGTACGAATAAAACAACCCAGTTTTTTTTTACTTGATTAGCGACCGAATGTCATCTATAAAATCCTCTTCTTTAAAATAAACACTGCATATTTTTACAGTTTTAACATTGATCTGATATTTTCTAAAACACTCACACATGTTTTTTGTAAATTGTCGGTTTTTGGGATCTTCTGATGATTTTTGTTTGTAAAAATTATGTTTGCAAACAGCAACACTACAGTTCGCTAAAATTTCAATTTCAGAAGATAAACAAAACGTGGTTCGAGTTTGACTTGGAGGCCGTATCCTAACCCAAAATATTCATCATTTTTTCTTGATTATTTGTAGCTTGTCTTTCAAAAAATCACACTACCGATATTCTAAAAACTCTAACACTGGAAAATAGTCCAAAAATAAAAATATAAATACTACTAAATAATAATAAAATAATAAATTTTTTAAATAAAAATAATGTACGTATCGCAGCAAAATATTTTGTCGCCTCGATTTTTCATTCAGTGGCGTCACACTCCTGTCCCTAGCAACCTAATGAGGCCGCCGTTTTAGTCTCCCAACTTTACCCGTGACCTATATTTCATTTATTTATCTGGGTTTTTATTTAACTGATAATTCCATATATTGTTGAAGTGTTTGTAAATAATAGTGCACATTAAAAATAATTATAAATAAAAAGTCAAATTGTACAATTAATATTTCTGATACGCACTACAAATGATACCTGCAGAATCAAAATTGTTTAACTTTCATTGTTCTAATGTATTTTTTCGTACTACGGTCAATATTTTCAAATTAAATAACGTTGTTGATAAGACATTAGCTATTAACTTAAGAAAAATAAAATCAATCATTTGCATAAAATAATTCAAATAATGCAAAATGAAAATATATCATCACAACGACATTTTCCCTCAGATAGGGTTGACCATATATGTATTTTCCTTCCTCCATTTTGCCTTGTTCTACTTCATTTTACTACTAACAGTATCCAAGTCTTCCTTGGTCTGCTTTTATTATATCTTCCATAAGCTACCGCTTTCATAATAGACCGTCAGATAGTGACCGATTTAGGTGCCCCATTTTCACATACAAGCCTCGAAGAGGATTAAAAAGTACATCGATGTTAAGTAGAATAAAAAAAATTACGAGTGGCTCTTGGGGATAAACACACGGAAAATTCGATTATCCTTATCAGGAAAATGCACTTATACATTCGGGTTATTCAAGAAAATATGTTTTTCGGACTAGTAACGACATACGTTTTCATACATTCGATGGGCTTGTGTGTAAAAATCGGGTAAAATTTCGATTTTTCCTTAGAAGATTGTGCCCTTATTTCAACCCTTTAGCCACTTGCAACATTAAAGTCTTTGGCAACAAATAACTCATACTACTTAAAATCGATGTATTTTTCAACCCTCTTCGAGGCTTGCATGCGAAAATGGGACACATAAACCTGTCACTATTTGACGGACTATAATGGCAGCTAATTTTCTTTCATTATCTCACAAATATGTGCGACTCTGAAGCTACTTCTAATAGGTACTTTAATTTCTAATTTCGACCTGTCTAATGACTTCGCTCATCCACCGAGTCTCAGAACTAACACTTTTTGCTCGTATCTTTTTACCTATATTTTAATCCTGAAAAAAAAAATATCTACCTGTAAACAAATACACGCGACAAACATTAAAATAAAAAAGAGGCGGTTCATTCTATTCTGTCAATGAATAATAACAACACTATTACGGTAGTTCTCAGGATTGATCCTAACTGACGCCCATGCGATATACTTATTCCAAGCATGTAGGTGATTTCTTAAGGAGAGAACGCATTAGACCAGTGTTTCTCAAATTGTGCTCCGCGAAAATAAGTCATAATAAAGAATAAAAAAAAATACTAGGAGTACTATGAGGAAATTCGTCACAAAAGGAAGGACACCTGGTTTACGGACTTTTTTTTAGATTTCACTCAGGAAGGATCTGATTGTGCTTGTTCCGGGGTTGTAAAGTAATGAAACCTATCTAAAGCAATAAAATGTTTAAAAAATCTATTTTAGGGCTCCGTCAAATATTTCGCTTTTCAAAAGGGTTCAGTCGCCAAAAAGTTTGAGAAACACTACATTAGACAATTGCGATCCCATTGCGTCGCGGGATGTGTGTCATAGGGTCCTGTAGCGTCGATCCAAATTCTTACCCGAGTTGCAGCTCCGCAGCGATACCCTATATGTATAGACACCATACATGTTACCCAATTTACCTAATCCGCAGACTAATTTTTGCAATCACACATATGTAGTCACTCTTACGTAGACACAAGTACTAATGGGTTTTAAATCAGGCATTCGTACTCGAAAGCCACTAAAGTTATTTTAATTTTTAATATTAAATTCTCACTAAATAATCAGGAAGTAATCCTAAAGTTCGGAGACTAGTTACTCTTTCTCACGGGAACAACTTCGAACATTCATATTTCCGTAATTATTTTATACCCGAATGAAATACCTAGGTACATAGTACGCAGAAATATATATTAATTCGCTTTTCCAAACTAAGTCTTATTAATACTCCACACCCACTGGCTTTCTAAAAAGTACTTTTTCTTCTAATCGAATTTCATTATTTATCCTAAATAGACATAGTTTAAATTTCAAATATACAGCCGTTGCGAATTTCAAATGATTCCAAAGAGCTCTAGCCAATTACGTAATCGTTTTACCTATGGGCGGAGCCAGGAATTAAAGACATGATTATAAGCATTTCCTGCAAAAATGGGCAATGGATCTTTAACTTTTTTCGTGGATAGTGTTCTCGCGAATGTAGTGGAAATTCTATTTCGGTGCTGGTTCGGTGTATCATTAACAAAAGGATTATTTCAAGTTTCGAATAATCGCAGCACCACGACTGCCTGAGTCGATAGACATAAGGACTTACTAATGGAAAGAGAGGATTTTAGCAGTGGTTGAGAAATAAGTCGGTGTTCGCGCATTCTCCACTGCTTTCTTGCGATCCTCCTTCTTAGAGCTCCTCCGTGGGATTATTACACTGAGTGTGTCCGTTCTGATTACGTGGGAGACGAGACGAAGTATCCCATTTAAAATTGCTAGGGCTGCCTTCATTTCATTTTCCTCCATTTTCATTCCCGCTTGCCGGCATTTTAGGCGCGGAACCTGTAACGGATTTTTCTTCTCTCCACAGGTCGGACTAACAGGTGTCAAGAGTCCCAGCCATATTTTTTTAGTGCCATTGTCAATAATATTGTTGGTTGGTAAGGTCCTCCGGCTTTGTTTGTTTACTACATTTTAAGCTTTTTCTGACGAACTACCTTGACCTTGTTTGTTTTATTTTACAGTCATTCGGAGACTCCTTTTTTATAGTAATGGGGCTCATTTCTTTTTATTTAATTAGTTATTATAAATATCCTATCTTAATGATTGTCGGTTACTTGCTAATCGACATTTCCCTCCCCCTATCAAACCCGCTTGACTGAGGGAGGCTTTTATTATTATTATTTTTTTAATTCACTGGTTTAGAATCTTAACGTCACTCAGTTTAACTAACTTAATATATTTTAAATCATTTCAATTCATTTTAATTTATTACAAAAATGCACCACAAGAATTCAAATAATTTCACTGCATTCCTTTTAGGGCACGGTACAAGAGAAGAGTTCTATGGCTTTTTCCCGGTTACTCCCGCCCCAGAGCAAGATGCTACCTTGTGGAAACAGCCGAACTCGGCTATAAATTTAAATGTTAATGATTTTTATAACTTTCACATTAATGACGCTGACGGTTTGCCAAATCCCCGCCGTCTGGACCCGAACCTACCCTGAGAGTACGCAATTCGTTTGATATGGGACTCAAATCACTCTCCATCCCCATCGAGCGTCGGCCTACACACGGCAAATGTAAGTCAGGGGGAAGTTTCCCTAGTGAAGTGCTTCACAGTGTTGATTTCAAGGAGTTCACTACGCTCTTCGAATTGTCCACCAGTATGGCCATATCTCCCTCACAACCCCTTTTTAGCGAAAGAGCGGGGTCAGAGCAAAACGACCGAGACCACCCGACGACATGTGCTAGTCTCGATCGCATCGTGGTCTCCCGAAATTCTTTGGAAAAGTTAGGAGAACGCACAGAGCACAGCTTAAGAACACGTGAAATACACGCGTTATAAAATATGGGAAAGTTTCAATGCAAGCGGATTTTTTTAAATTGCTAATAACACCAACAAATAATTCAAAAAACGGCGGCCCATGATGATTCATTCACGCGGAGATAAGCGTAAACTAGAAATGTGGGAGCAATTCGGATGGTGTCGTGGAAACGATGATTTTTAATTGGTGGGTTACTTAAAGTTGGAATAGACAACATGTGGTATGTGCAATGTTACATCTCCAGTCTCTTTATACACAACACTAAGATTTAATGTACTTAATATAACTCTTACCTTTAATATTGTTGACGAAAAACAATAATTAATGCATACTTATAGGAATATTTAACAAATAGGTATTTTCAATTTGATTGGTGTGAAGGCAGCAGTCTATTGTGAACTTACCTTTAGATTCGCGATTTTTAAAAATCATTAGAAAAATAGCTACACTGTTTTAATTTCATATTATTATGACCACAGTATACATAACTCAAACTCGAGTGGTTTTCTTGGTGTTTTTATGGTCCTCCTATTAATAGTTTTGCTTGTATATCCAATAACAGCAACTATTATAATTCAATTATTTATGGTCTAACATAACAATTTGTTGCGTTAAATTATTTTATTCCCTCTATTCCTGAATCTACTTCCAATTATAATTTATTTACACTTGTTTTCTTAAAACAGATCCAAAAATATCAAATTTACATGGAATCAGAATTATGTACTACATAAGTATTGGTACCGCCATCTATCTTAATAACTTGCAAATTATCGTTTCAAATTCTACACTTTAAATGAATTTATTACAAATTCCCATTTTCGGAAATTGTAATTTTTTAAATTAACCACACCAACATATATAAATAACTGGATTAGTAAATAATCTTCTGAAAATCGGGACACTACCTGATAATTATACAGAGATAACAAAAATATTTTTATTAAATCTAATTTTTGTCACTAAAACTATCAGAATTGATTCAGATTAACATAGTTTAGGAACATACTTACCTAGATGAATAATGCAATAAACACAATGAATACATACATCTACGCAACTAGACAAATAAAGCACAAAAAAAGGAAACTCTAAAAATTATATAAATTTTATTTATACAAATCTAAACTCAGAACGATTTATTTTGCATCATCCCTACGAAATTCGAATGAATGCAAAAGGGCGTTCTTAAATACTAAATTCGCATACTAGTAAAACATGCACAAAAATAATGAGAAACATCCAAAATGATGAAAATAAATAAATAAAAAATTCAATACCCATCGGCACTGATTATACTGGAAGACATCTCGCTACTGCTTCCTTTGGAATTGCTCTCAGAATAGCCCGGAGAAGAGGGACCACTACTGGACATCAAACTTGGAGGGCCACTCCAACCTACACCTAAAGATAAAAAAATACCTACTAATTTGCTCAGAAAATAACAGAATGAATTAGAACTTTAGACAGGATGTAGAATAATTTATTTTGTTTAACAGAGCTGGCATATATTGAAAAAATTATTTCATTTATTATAAAAATTAGGCAAATGAGATGTTTAAAATATATAAAATTGTTGCTTAACCACCATATCATACTAAAGATTATTTGTCTCAAAGGTAAAATATAATATTTAAATTTGCAACAACGAATTATTTAATTTTATTTCATCTAATAGTGCATTGCCATATGTATTGAACTCAGAATCTCCCTCTCAGTTTTGAACACGAAATAAAATGCAACAGAACATAATACGCTGATCAATTTTCGAAAACGGAACATAATTTAATAAAAAATGTATACAAAGATATTGGTAAAGCACTGTATTTGAAAAAGAAGAAATTGATTTTTTGCAGCTATATAACTCCATGTTTAACTAAATATTTCTTTGTTTTATAAGCAAATTTAATAGATTTATGTAACTTATAATAATACTAGTCAGTAATTGTTGTCACATATTAACTATATTTTTCTTTTTCTACAAAATATATCCAAATCAAAGAAACAAGGGCACAAATTAAAAAAAAAAAACATTTAGCTTAAAAATCTGAGGAAATTGCTTAATATCTAGACATAAAAACTTACTGTTACTAGGAGACTGTAGCTTAAGAGGCCTTCCCTTCTCTAAGGATAGGCCACATCCATTTGTCGGCGTAGGCAATGGAGTCGATGGATATCTAGGAGGTGTAGATGATGGTGTCCGAAAAATTGGAGCAGTGGTCATGCGATCCAAAAAAGAATCTAATTGTTTCAGAGACAATGCGTTATGTAAGGTTTCTAAAGGCCTGATTGCCGGTACACCTCCGAAACCATCAATAGCTGAAATATTTCCGTACAATACGTAAAAACAATATTTTATTCGGAAAAAATAGAAAGAGTTAAGATATCTTGGACTCAAGATGCGAATAATTGATTTTTATGATGACACCCTTGAAATACTGCAAAAGGCCACTTTTTTATAAAGTATTAAACAAATAAAATACACAGATATCTCTCCAATAAAGTCAAATTTAAAATCTTTGCTTTAAATCTTCAGTTAATATACCGATATATAATATAATAATAAAGAATTCTTTAACGTAGTTTTTCATATCAAATTGCTCACAGTGGATGATATTTTCTCGATCATCCAAAGTTCATTTGAGCGAAACATTTTTGCCAAAATAAAAAAAAATCATTCATCGTGGATTGGACCTCGTTTCGAGATGAAAAATTGACTGCTTGTTCAATTCTTAACAAACTGAGCTAACCGAGTGAGTTATTTAATCAAATATGTGTATTGTAATTTTTTTAGCCGATATTTTTTAACAATTTTCAGTTGCAAGTGTTCTAAACTAAATCCTTGCAGATGACACTTCCTCATGGTCCCGCCTAACACTTCACAAAATTCCAAGTGGAAGTACGATAGTACCAGCAAAGTTTTTGGAAACTGGTTCGGTGAAAAATAGGAAAGAAATAACCGACGAGTACTAAATGAAGAAGCTCAAATTGAGGTTTTGGGAACATTTGTTGCAGTGCCAACTAGCTCCATACAAACAGTAGCAGAATAGACGGGAATATCCCGCGAGACTGTAAGAAGAGAACTGAGAATGCATAAATTTCATCCCTATGAAATGCAGATACTTCAAGAGCTCTATGAAGATGATTTTGATAGAAGAATAGAGTTTTGTGAAACCATGTTTGATCAAGTTAACACCAACCCTAATCTTCTGCTAAATATCTGTTTCAGCGATGAATCTTCATTTTTTTCTTAATGACAATGTTAATAAACAAAACTGTCGATACTGGAGTGACGAACACCAGCATATTATTTGAGAATTGCATACACAACATCCGTAAAAAGTTAAGGTTTGGTGCCGTATTATTGGAAATGCAATTATTGGTCCTTTATTTATTAAAAGAAACTTAACAGATGATCTGTACCTTAATATGCTTAAAGAGACTATTGGTCATCTCATAACTCACGAGCTAGAAACTCAAACTGATGAAGAAGGTAATTTAGCTTTACATGAAGATCTGTTACATTTTTTTTTCACATTTAATTAAACGAGAGATTCCCAGACAGTTGGATTTGCAGAAAGAGGACAATTGAATGGTCCCCAAGATCACCTGATTTAACTCCTTAAGACTTTTTTCTTTGGAACACCTTAAATCCGTTGTTTATGAAACACAACATGCTAATATTGATGATTTTAAAAGACGATGCCGGTGAAGTTTTCCGAAATGTTAGAAAGGAGTTAGGAAACAACCTTTATTACTGTTTACAGTGTATAAACCCTACAAAAACAACACTATTGGCCTTTTCAAAGAAAAGAAAACTTAATCTCAAAACCGTTAAATTAGACGGGATAGATATTGAATGGAAAAATGAAGTCAAATATCTAGGCCTAACCCTGGACAACAAACTTCTCTGGAACACACATGAGAAGGAAGTAGTAAATAAGGCCACAAAAGCCCTAATAGTATGCAGAAACATTGCGGATAAACGATGGATTGGGGATGTAACCCAAACATATTGCGATGGATGTATACTTCAATAGAGAGACCAATAATCACTTACGGGGCTATAGCCTGGAGTAACAGAACTAGTTTAGCTACTACGAGAGCTATTATCTCAAAAGTACAAAGACTAGCCTGTCTGCATTAGTGGTGCAATGAGAACCTGTCCTACGGCCGCAATGGAGATGATCTTAAACCTCACTCCTCTACATTTGATGATAGAGAATGTGGCAAAAAGGACAGGTTATAAAATGATCAGGAACGGAGTAATCAGACAAAAGTCTACTTGCTTCAGGACTATAGATACCTGGGACATGCCCCAGGATGAAATGCTAAAGAAGTACAGTTTTGTGAAAAACTTTAAAACCACAGAGCAAGAAAGAATGGAGCCAAGAATCCATCGCGCTTGGAACCGAAAGACGTGGTATTCAGTGGTATACAGACGGTTCCAAAACCACAGATGGAACTGGAATGGGCCGAGAACCAAGCACTCCGAAAGCTTGGGAAAATACCCAAGCATCTTCCAGGCGGAAATTCACGCCATCGAGAAGTGTATCCAGTTTAACATCGAGAGAAACTATCATAGACAAGAGATTATCATCATGTCCGATAGCCAAAACCATCAAAGCACTTAGCTCTTTCGTAATTAGCTCAAAAATGGTCTGGAGATACCTAGAACAATTGAATGAGCTAGGCGTGAAAAATAGAGTTACTCTCACTTGGGTCCTGGGACATAACGGGGTACAGGGTAACGAGATTGCAGATAATCTGCAAGGAAAGGGGCTCAAACACCCTTTGTAGGACCTGAGCCGTACTGCGGTATCAACAGAAACATAATATTAGGAGAGATTAAAAAGGAATTGGGCAGTAGAAGAACTGATAAATGGAACAATCTCTTGGGGCTGAGACAAGCTGAGATACTTCTGGGTGAATATAACCAAAAAAGATCGGAAGCCTGCATCTGCCTGTTTTCGATTTTAGATAGACAATTTAATTATTCTTCTCATTCGTTTGTGACTTCGTCATTCATTGTTTGAATTGTTTACAATATTGTGAATTAGTTGTGTTTATTTTTTATTGTTATTGGATTATTTTACTGTAAATAAGAACCGCATCTTTTTAATAGTACTAATTTTAATTTTAAATTTGTTTGTTTTTGTCGTGGACAAAATATTCCTTAAATTACTCAATATTTTTAGAATCATAACCTTATATTTACTTTATATATTGTCGCGCAAAAGCCTACCCTGTGCTTTGTTTACTCCTTGCCCGCAGTATGAAGTATGCCTAGCGATATAGAGACAAACGCACCGCTTCTCGAAACTACCAGAAAAAGCGATACACGGCCGTTGAGTCATAGAAATGGAATTTTCGGACATTCGACATCGTCTAGAGAGTTCTAGTACAGAGTTGACTTTATATAAATAGAGCGAGTTGTCGACGGACGGCAGATTGAATTTAAGTGTTGAACAGAGTTATAATAGTGCCTAAGTATTATATAAATTAATTAGTACGTCATAAATAAATTGTAAACAGTGTGTTTTAAATAAATAATCCAGAAATAAATTAACAAAATATTAAATCAATATGCTTACCTGTAGCATTACTCGAACTAGTAATCATATCTCTTAAATTCGGCGCGCTGGAACTACCAGAAATGACGGCGGTGGAGAACAACGAATTGGTACTACTTCCGACGAGCTTCTTCAATCCCAGAGGACCTCCGCACCCGAATCCCAGCATCTTGTAATAGCTCATCTGTCCGGCAATGCTGTGTCGATGGCGTTTGATACTTTGGGCTCCGCATTCTGCATTGGATACGCAAGGATTCACACAAGGAGTAGGGTGTGACAACGATCGAGATGTACTTAATCTCCGGGGGGGCGAAGTAAAGAAAGAAAGTAGGTGGGGGTTGGTGCGGGGAGTAACACAAAGCAGGCAAGTGGTATCGGGAGCATGCTCGGGATAAAAGCTGAACGGGGAGAAAGGATCCGTTTCGGGAGGAGACAAACTGGTAATTTGATCTTTCATACTATCGTTATACTTTTTCATTAGATAGTTCTTGTCGGAATGATTTACCCATTCCACATCTAAGATATTCGGGTCAGAGAAGGATCTGTGTCTACTAATTTCTTTACCAGATTTAGACTTGTCATCGAGTTCTTTCATATCAATTTCCCAATTTACCTCCATTGAAATGTCATCAGTTTGACTATCTAATGTATTTTGTCTGGACACTCTACAGGATCTACTCGAAAATTTAAGTGAAGATAATGGTAATTCATTTGTACTCATTACGCAAGAGTTTTTAGAATCCAATTTAGATGTAAATAGAGCTAAATTGAGTTCAGTTAGTGGCAGCTCATTTGTGGCACTTGACGGTTTAATTTTACCTACACCTTCTACTTTTTCACTCGGTAGTGACATACTACCCTTGTTTAATCCAGGAGGAGTGGGAGAATCAAAATCGTTTATGTACTCAAAATCTATTGATCCGGAAATTGGACTTAGTTCCGGTTTTTCTATCGAAACATTCCTTGTACAGGAAAACTCGTTGAAATTACCAAAACTTTTCGGAATCGGAATATCTACTGGTGGTGTTTTTGGGGTGTTTGTTGGTGTGATGGATGATGATTCAGTATCGTGAGGTGAATCTTTTGTTTAAATTATACAAAATAAATGTTAGTATGGTGGTTTATGTGCAATGCACGTTAGCAAACATAAAGGGAAAGCCAGCAAAAAGGGGTGAAAAAGAAGAAACAAAATATTACTTTTAGTACATGTAGAAATGCAATACCCACAAAATGATAGTAATTCAACATGTTTCATCTAAATTAGCTATTTATTTGAAAAATAAATATTAATACGGGGAAAGTAATTTTAAACTCAAATGTAACGAAATATAAAGAATAACTTAAAATAATACGAGCGATAGTTACCATACAGGATTATATCTAGAGAAAACAGTGGAAATAGTTTTTTTTTCGATAGGCATTGGATAATATTATCTAAGAGAACACTAGTAAATAATTTTCCATCTCTACTGATCTCTCTAGAAATACAGAATGTCCCAGAAAAGTTTAATCTTATATTTCACAAAATATATATTATTGATACAAAAGTTCAAGCATTATTTTTTTTTAAATATAAGCGGAATACAGAGAAAATTAAAATAATGATTTAGAATGAAGAATAAAATACTTTTAAATTTTAATATAGAGCAATATTTGTTAAAATTTAAATTATTGCACTTGTTTTTAAGTGATTTTGATTTACTTTATTCAAAAACTAATCCAATTTTTTAATTTTACAAATTTCATTAATTATATTGAACTTTTTATCAGGAATATTTTTTTGTAAAATGTAAGATAAAGTTTTTCCCATTTGTATAAAACTTTTTATAACACACTGTATACTCCAATGCCTGTAGAGGTATGTAAACAGAGTAGTTGGGTAGCAATCACTCGTATTATTTTTATCATACAAGGATTTGAGTTATTCTTCTTTCTTTCACCATATTTTTTTTAGAGTTTCTATTCGTATTCTGTTAATTCGATTATATTTTAGTGGGGATATATTTACATCAATTTTTAAGGTAAAAACATTTATTCCTGATTAATTTTGAGATATACAAATTATTTTCTTAATAAATTACTTAAAAAATTAGAATATAAGTATTATATTTAGTTAAATAATTTTTTAGTTGTAAATGAAACATGCTGTCTTATATAACTACCCCGTAATATATTCTTTGAACCAGACTCTTTTTAAATTAATTTAATCAATTAGGAATAAATAAAATTTAAAAAAAATACATTAATTTAAAATAAAGAGGCTGGGACAATAACTTATCCATGTGATATAATTTTATATACAGGAAACAATTTACTTTGTTTCATTTATAAAATTGTTTTTGAAATATAAACCTTTAGTTATAATAAATCTGAATATTTAAAGTCTGAAGTCACAAAATATAAGTGAACAAATAAAATAAAAAATCATATAACTTATTATCTTAACAAATATTTAATTTTTTGTTATATCTTTATTTGACATAGTCAAAATTCTTATTGTAAAAGTATTGTACGCTCGACTAAAATTGTATCACACTTATCAATCTGTGCAATTTATTTCGTTAAATACAAAATTATATAATTAAAAAATTATTATGGTATATAATTGTATAACAAAATTTAAAGGAGTTAAAATGATCCGATAATTTTGTGTGTCAAATACAAGGGAAACAGTAAGTTTGGAAAAGCCTAATATTTTAATAAATTTTTAATTAACTTTCTTTTAACCGACTGCAAATTATTTAAATTAAAATATCAATAGGACAACTAAAAGATTGATTTTCAATAGGCACCTGGGCACTAATTGTTGTTTAGCGAGAGGTATAAGACGGGTGCAAAATAAATGGCGCAAGTACACTGAAATAAATGGCGCAAGTACATTGAGAAATAATTACTGTATTTGCTTGTCCATGACACATTTTATCTAAAATCAATTGTACATATACTCACAGCTTCAACCTCCCCAAAATGCAATTCCATAATATATCTTAAAAATTAAACTCAACTAGAGCTTAGTATACATTTTCAGCTGGTTTAAAACCTATTTCTTTTACCAACGTTCTAACTGCAAAACACCCAGAGGAAAGTTTATTTCTAAGTATCAAGTGAGCACGTACTCTCAAATACCAGAAGTTTAGACATATCCTCTGGTGTTCCAAGCAGATAGAAATCTTTAATGAATGTATATCTCCTTCGAAAGATGACACATCATACACTATACTTTGTATTTATTAATATAGCGCCTGCCAGCTGTGGTATACAACTACGCGGGCAGTTTATTTGGGTTTTTACAGGGACGTATAATCACACATCTCAGTATTAACTGCGGGGACCCTGATTGACTCCAGATATCGATACACAATAGTTAACCTGCTAAGCCGGGCCACTACCCCGGAAGTTTTATTGTATCAGTATATTCAATGTTACGACTTTCTATAGTGGTTAGTATTTTTGTTTATTTTTGCTGTGCCATAAAATCGCAGTGTCTTCAGCAAACAGAGTAAGTTTAATTTGAATTTAAAAAAAAAAATCAAAAGCCATCTCTTCGTCTTCGGGATCGGAGACGAAGACATGGGAACCCTAAAGGCCAAATCAATGAGGATAGGCGTTAACCTCATTGGCTATAAGACCAAAGGTCGAAAAAGAAGCTGAAGCGGAGCCCAGTGAAGACTCCTTGGTAAAGGACTCTCTTCCCCCCAATTCAAGCCAACAGTGGAGGACGTCGAGTCAGAAAAAATGACAATCGATGACATACAGCATGAAAACTCCGAGGAGCCACAAGAGATCATCCCCTCCCCGCTTTCGGAGGAAGGGATGGTCGAATAAAAAAAACCTAAGCCCAATTTTTAACGGAAGACCGGGAAGCAATAAAAGAGGTAACTATTATACAATGTAACTTGCAGCACAAAAGGGTGGCTACGGCAACATTATGCCACCGCCTTGATGAGCTGCAAGATACAAAGCACTCATCCAGGAACCCTGGATAATAAAAACCAAAATTTTAGGTCTTAAAAATCTAAATGGTTCAATTTTTAGCTTTCCCAGCAACCAACAACCTAGGACAGCCACTTACATTCCTAAGAAATACAAAACCCACTCAATGGCTCACCTTTCCACCTCCGATTTAACTGCGGTTAGAATGGAATACGCCATAAAAAGGGAAAAGAAAACGTTAATCCATCTGCATACCTCCCTTCCGATGCAACCACGCCACCACTCAGCAAAATAATGGAGGATCTGATTGCATACTGCCTGGAACAGAAGTTTGAGCTGGTAATAGGTTGCGACTCAAACGCTCATCACTTCAGTTGGATAACAATGCTAGAGGTAAGTCACTTTATGATTATATAATTACCAAAAATCTTTATATTTTAAATAAAGGTACTACACCAACATTTTTAAACTCTCGCAGTCAAACACTAATAGATATCAATTTATCCACAACTGGTATCTATAAATCAATTCTAAACTGGCAAGTGTCTGATAACATTTCGATGTCAGACCACCGCTGGTTAAAATTCAAAATAAACTTGATGTCATTCTTAGTCTTACTCCGCTTGATATTTACATCAAGGAGGTTACTCTGACGACGATGACACGCCTTCGCACGGTTGGAATATAACCTGACGTAGGATCTGGTGAGGCGAGACGTCACTTTTGGCAGGAGGCGCTCGATACGCTCCCACTGCTTCAAGCGAACATGGACTTCATCTCACCGAGATATATCTTCCATAAGCCGTATAAAGTTATAATAAAACAAATATAAGAGCCAGAAGTGGCAGCTACGATTTATATCTATACCGACGGTTCTAAAACACAACAAGGCTCAGGATGTGGAATATACTCCAGATTCTTAAACCTAAACATAAAATGGGCTGTGAGCAATAGTGCCAGTGTAGTTTAAACAAAGCTAACGGGTATTATCATAGCAGCAAAAGAAATAACCAGATACAATATTACTGGAAGGAACATGCTCATCTATACAGATAGCAGACAAGCACTACTGACCCTGAACAGACCACGAATTTATTCAGGGTTAGTACTAGAATATCACGAAGCTTTGGCCGAAGTATCCATCAAGTATCCATCAACAATGTCACCTTAAGATGAATCAAAGGTCACGCCACATCGAAAGGTAACTGTCTTGCTGATTCACCAGCCAAGAAAGCAGCCAACCAAATACTTTTTGGACCTGGCCCTTTTATTGGCCTGACAAAATCGATAGTGACAGACCTAATTAAAGAACATTCCCTTGTGAAATTCAAGGAAAGATAGAATGAAACAAGAAACTGCAGAGTTGCCAGGGAGCTGTTAAGTTATCCTGACAACATTGTAGCAAACAAATACTTGACTATGAATCTGCGCCTAGGCATTCTGATTGGTCATTGCCAAGTACGGAAGCATCTCCATATCATGGGGCTGTCAGAATCCGCACTCTGCAGAGGGTGCGAACAAGATTGTTCGACGCTCTCATTTATTATTTATTTAGATTTGTGTTCGGCGACGTTGTTAACTACATTAAATCTGTAGGCTGGCTCACGAGCTAGGAGGTGCCTATCATCTTAGGTGTATGCACAATGAGCCTAATGAGGCCTAAGTGCCGTGAGGGTAACCTACCCACCACATATTACAGATATAGAGATTAAGTTAAGTCATTTATATTGTCTCGGGATAGCTGCAGTAGTGGGTCCGCACTACCTTATTATTATTATAAACATTCATAACTATTAGTTAACGATTAAAAAAAATTGAATATGTCTACCTTACTAAAAAATTATATAAATATTGAATTTTTCCAAAGTTACTGTTTCCTTTGTATTTCACACTTCAAACATTTCCAGGCTACTTGTTTAGCCAATATTAATCCCTCCATCAAGATTATATATATTTTGATTTCTGATTTGTTCTTTTACTAGAAATTTATACACGTTCAGCTAGATAAAAAGCTACTTACACGTTGTAATGGCTGAATATTAATAATTTATTCTAAATTGTTTTTACCAATAAGTAAGTTAGTAGCTATGAGCAAAACATTTTTTTAAATATTTAAAAGATTAAAATTAGAAACCTAACGGTCAAAGAAACGTTATCTCAGGTTGTACAGCATACACAAATTAAATCTCAATATTTACATTGTATATATTCATTAATTACATTAAGTCTGTAGTAATCGTAAATTGCACAGACTTCTGATATATCCCTTTACAAAAATAAGTATACTCCCTTTAAAGAATAGAGCCAAATCACCATTCAAAAAAAAAGAAAAGCATGCATCAAGAAATTTTACCAAAAATAAGAATTCGGCGAAGCAAAGAAAAGCTTTTTAAGGAAACTACGTTCAGCACCACACCAAAAAGTGGAAGAATGGATGTAAGGACAATTCGTCATGGAATCAAAATGGTTTCGTGACTGTGCTTTAAGCTGATTCGCCATGACGATTAAGTCCATCACAGATCAGAGTTTTATAGAAAAGGTGATCGAGTAGAAAGGAACATCGATTGAACCAATGCAATAAACGGAGATGTACCAAATCCTAAACGTTTTAGATTACAAAACGAAGAGTCTGATGCACCTCCGCAGACATTTGACACTGGTCACACCAACCGCACGGTTTTACCAGACAGATGAGTTTAAATTTGAAATATTTAATATCAACTTGACTTTGCACATGCTTAGCCAACCTAGAAAGTTTCTACAAAATAAAAGTTTCATCATTATATTTTATTACAATCGATTAAAATTTTTTATAAAACAAATAGAATACGTAAATTTTGGTATATTTTGATTTCTTATATCTATAAGAGGTAAAAAACATATTTTATCTAAATAATTTTTATTTTTTAAACCTGTACAACTTTTAAACTAGTTTAGATAATGAAACGTGGTTTTAAGTTTATTTTTCATTTTTAAAACTCTTAAAATACGACAAGCCAGAAGTGTCCCGCGAGAAATAGATAAGCATTGGCGAAAGTAGACATTTCCTTTTATTTTTGTACGCATCTCGCAAGCCACTTCTTACTTCTCGTATTGTACATTTTTAAACGTCTTTCATTTGAAATTACATAGCCTATGTCATGTCAAAAAAGATAGATACACAGAAAAAAACTTAAAAAAGTAGATTTGTGAAAACCCCATTTCATTATCTTAACTCCTTTGAAAGTTATAGTTTAGGTTTGAAAAGGGTTAACGTTTTAGATAAGGAAATTCACATCCTGAAAATTGATGAAAAAGCATAGTCTATTAAAGTGACTATTAAAAACTAACTAATCCTGATTCATAAAAAAATATATATTGTTAAAAGTTTGTAGAAACTTTCATGGTCACATCTAGCTAGAGCAAAGCAAATAAAATATTTGATATAAGTAACAGTTATTTCAAATTGAAAAAAGAAATAAATAATAAAACTAACAGAGCTCTGCCGAGAAATACTGCAAATCTACCAATGCTTGAAAATGTTGTATTAAATATACTTAAAAATAGTATGTATTAAAAAATGCAAAATCAAGTTGAAATAAAAACATATTAGAATCAAATCCTGGAACTTAAATATTAAGATAAACATAAGAAACACTGTAATGTTGTATAGTGTAAAATAAAAAAAAATAAATAAATACAATTCTAAACGGAAGGAGCTTGTTAAATGTGTGTGAATATCGAGGTTGTCGGTTTTAAACTGATATTAACAAAACAATTTGATTTTTAATAATCATCTATAAGTCTACTTTAAAAATATTTGAAGAATATTTAAAAATAAAACAAATTTTGTTTTACTTTTGTATTTCTCTGATAATTAAATCAAAGACAGAATTAGAATAAAATACCGGTTAAAATAAACAAAAAACATAACCACTGCTGATTTTCTTAGAAGTGGCAAAATACTAAAAAATACATACAGAGTGTTCCATAATTAGAGATATTTTAACAGCGTATTATACAGGTGAAAAAAAAAATGCCTTATAAAGGAGCAACGCCTCTGAAGATGGTTTTCTGACGATATTTTTGAAACCGGTACTGATAAATACTTCATATTTTGGATTTCTTTCAAAATTGATATTCTAAACATCACAACTAGTTCAAAAATTTAATTTTTCTAACTGGGACGCCACAACTATAGGAGAGCGGTGTATACAAATATTTTGTAGGACGAGTGGTATTTGAGAAGGTTATTTTTTGAACCAGTTTTACACAAAAACTATTTCAAACGAATAAAAAAATGTATTAATTACATATTATAAAACGAACAATTATGAATGGTTGTGGAATTGCCTAATTTTGTAGTTTCTAACTTTACAGAACTGCTCAAATCGATTCAAAATTATTATTTTTTTATTTACTGTATTATGTGGTACATAATTATGAATTAAACTTACAATAACATTAGGATTATTATCACCAAACCTATTATAAGTTACTAAATCCATTTTTAAATTATAATAGTCGATACTTGACAATATAAAATTTGGTGATGGAGGCCTACTATGTAAAAAGTGCTGCCTGGTTTCAAATGGTAATTTTGAAGACTGTGTGGCACACTTCAAGTTAGACTTCCGCGCTATTTGCAGTAAAATGAATATTGTAAAAAAGATCACAGAAAATCAGGTGCGACCTCAAAAACATGCTTTGATATATTTGTTAGTTTTTAAGATAAATAACTTCACAAATACTGTTTATTTGGCTAATAACAAAAAAAAAAACTGACGGGTTATACTTATGTCACTACAAAAAGCAGAATATCTTTAAAAATAAAATTAAAGGTATATCAATAATGTGGTAAGTAGATAATGGAAACGTTGAACACCCTTTAACTTTTAGACTCCGCTGTAATTCACGCGTCGAGAATTGCAGTCGGGCTTATCAGTAAACAAGATAACATTGGCTCGCGTTAGTGAATTTAAATGAAAAAAATTATTGGAAATTCATAGATATTTATGGAAATTCATAGAAATTCGTAGAAATTCATATAAATTCATAGAAATTCATAAAAATTCATAGAAATTCGTAGAAATTCATAGAAATTCGTAGAAATTCATAGAAATTCATAGAAATTTATAGAAATTCGTAGAAATTCATAGAAATTCATAGAAATTTATAGAAATTTATAGAAATTTATAGAAATTCATAGAAATTTATAGAAATTTATAGAAATTTATAGAAATTTATAGAAATTCATAGAAATTCATAGAAATTCATAGAAATTCATAGAAATTCATAGAAATTCACAGAATTTCATAGAAATTCATAGAAATTCACAGAATTTCATAGAAATTCATAGAGAATCATAGAAAACACCTGCTTATTCTAGTAGGCTTTAAATTGTTATTACCCATATACAAATAAAATTTCTGTACTATTAATTCTAAATTTATGGTAGCGGGTTTTCAGAATGACTATCTCCATTTACGTAAAATCAACGACATTCGCTAGCTCGGATAAATCAACCATAAAGCAGTGCCTACCGAAACAATGCACACTTTGCGAAAGAGAAAAAAGGTAACAAATCTTATATTTTATGAAATCAAATTCTCACAGGTTGTTGCCAACGGGTACCACAACACATTTTTTTAATGGACTGAAAAAAAAATCACTTTATTTTGTAATTCCTTTAAAATCGATTATTCGATGGTTAAATTATTTTGATCAATCGAAATAGAATATAATAATTAATAAATAATTATTTTGCTCACCCTTAGTTGTAACATTTAGAATATACATTGTTACCTTATAATGCATTTTTGGATATATGTTTATAATAACTTTCTACATAATACATTGTTACAATATTTAGCTATAATTTTGGAACACTTTGTATAAGAAATCATTAAAATTAATCAATAAATTGGTAAATAATAGTTATATGTTCAAAATTAAATTGCATTGTAAATCAGTAAAATTTTATTGACCCGGGGGTTTGAAAAAAAAAAAGGAGGAATACTTTGGGCACAAATTTTGAGTGTCATACCTGAGCTGTTAACAGCGTCCAAACTTTGATGTAATTTCTGAGCTGTCCAACATAAATTAGTATTGTTACAACACCCATTTTAGCAAAGTAAAACCGTAAAAAAATAATAATAATGGAGATGATGAGCCAAAAATGGTAAAAACGGTTTGTTGAAATGAAAATGTGTTTGAAATACAAAGCACCCATTTTCCTAAACGATTTGTTGCTCCCTTTTTTTAAAATTTGTTAGTATGTTCTAGTTTGTAATTTTTATCGATTTGTTTTTTTCTTAAGAGTTCATTATACAACTAATATTTGAAAATACGTCAGTCATAATTTCAAAAAGTTTCTCCATATCCATTTTTGTTAAAAATATAAATATCCAAAATATTATCAATTTAAAAGTCATTAAAACATAATTTCTCAATTTTAACAACAAATAGACAGAATGTCGTTTCTATCAATTTTGTATGGATCCTACAAAATCGGAGAGTCATAGATTTTCTGTAATTTTGTTTAACAGAAAGCAATTAGCCAGACTTTTTTATTTTTATTAGTAAGCTTTTGTATCGTTTCCAAGCGCCAATTAGAAACCAACAAGTCAATGGTTGAGAAATGAAATGTTACTATTATAATATGCCATAATCACCATTCATTGAAAAATGGATCAGGATAACTTCATTGTATGAAATTTTAAAAAATACCAGCAGAAATTATATACTTTTTTAAATTATTATGTGTTTTCAAAAAATAATTATTACTGATTATTTGCGTTATTTATTTTTGTAAAATAACGATTTGTGACATCCAAAATTTAAATGTCGTCAAGAAATATACAAAAATGTAGATAAAGGCTGAAACTGCATTCATATTCAAATAAATTAATTTGAATTTTATAGACGAAATATCATTAATGCAAACCATCTCCATTATTTAAAATAAAATGAAAACTGTAGGTACCCATTCTGTTGGTTCCAAAATATGAAAACTAAAAAAACTGAAATTGAATAAAAAATGTGTCCATACCATAAAAAACTTCCTTGCACCTTGAAGTGTTTATTTATTAATTTTTATTCATTATTGCTACATTAAAGAATATTTTATTTTAAATTCAACTTCTAACTTCATTCAGGTACAATCCACTTTTTATCGAAATCATTTCTTCCAACATATAATGATACGAGCTTCTTGTACTTGATGTAATATTTCTTTGTCACAATTTCTACAAAAAAACCGAATTTATATTGATTTTTTTGTTAACTATCTAGTTCCCTACTGGTTCTAAACTAAGCTCTAAAGTGAAGTTGATTGTAACCTAATACATAGCAAGTAAACTAAAGCAGTTGTGTTTTGATATATTATGGGGTTGCTAAAAGTTTGGCAATAAGATTGTTAATCGCCATTTTAATTTGCGAGTTCATTACAGAACTTTTCAGTTGACCGTACTTTTCAAAAATAAAGATCTTAACGATATTGCATTCGCAGTTTCTGCCACTTCTGGTGGAGTTAAATTAAACTCTTCGTCTACATACAGTTTTTGAATTTAAAAAAAATAAATAATGACATACAATGACAGATAGTATTCTTGATTTCAAATGTATATGTATGTTTAATTGCTTACGCCATAGGTAAATGTCAATATAAATGTATAATAAGAGCAATGTACGTTGGGTTGCATTTAATAAAATCGTTGATTAATAGAAAATCATTCATTAATAGGGGTCATTATACAACGATTTTAAGTGCGTTAAAATACATTATAAATGGTCGGTCGACTGAAAAAATATTAAATTATTATTTTGAGATTATAGCGGAACCTATTCCCCGAAACTTTTTCATTAAATGACGTTCTGTTGCCTCTCTCCAAAATATGGCACTAAATTGTGTACACTTATATTAAAAAATCCACCAACCAGAGGTCATTAAAATTATGTACCAAATATTGAGGGAAGAACTGTCTGAAATAGTAAAAGTAAAAAATGCGTCTGTATCTATTCAACTTTTTAACAAATGTCGAAAAACAAACGTAAAAATAAACGAAGAGTGGCAGTAAAAATATATATTTTTTTTAAATTTGCCTCGCTATAACTGGAGCAATGTCAACCACATCTACGGGAGCCATGGAGACCATACTGGACTTAACCCCTCTCACATTCTGCTGGAAAGGGAGGCCAGGATGGTCTCCTATAGGCTCCTGAAGGTGGGTAGTCAATGTTTCGAAGAACTGCGATGGGACAAGACGGAGCTGATGAGTAAAATTAATAACCACCTCATCCTCGGCATGGTCTCGGACTCGCTAGTTCTCCGACAGCACATAGAAAAGCCATACAGCGTCCTCATTCCAGAGAGAAACGCATAAAGCAGAGGGGACAAACCCTCTCTCAGGCGTTGTACACGGACGGCTCCAAAACTGAAAAATGAGTAGGGAGTTTTTGGCCAAAGCCTAGAGTTGACATATCAATAAACCTAGGCTCTCTGGCCACGATCTTCCAAGCAGAAATGACTACTATAGAATTGGGAGCGAGACAGTTGATTAATTTTCTCCCCGCAAACAAGACTATAAAGAACTTTTCAGATAGCCAGACATCCCTTAAGGCCCTGAGCTCAAATCAAGTTGACTCAAAGCTGGTTTGGAACTGTATAAATACCCTAGAATGCCTCGGTGCCCGGAACAAAGTTACTTTGATTTGGGTTCCGGGACACAGTGGTGTGGAGGGCAATGAAAAAGCCGACGCATTTGCTAAAAGAGGACCAGAACCATTCCTGGGCATTGCAAAAAGCACTGCCAAAAGAATTATCTTAAAATGGACGGAGGGTACAACACTCACTAACTGAAGAAATACCCCAAGGCTAACCCATTCGAAGGCGTTTATAACCAACCCTTCTATGAACGCCTCTGCTCAGATCCGAGAATGGACTAGGAAAGATCTACGCATTTTCACTGGACTGGACTGATGACAGGACATTGCCGTCTGGGCAACCACATGAGCAGGATAGGTCTGCAACAAACATCGGACTGTCGATTCTGCAGCGTGAAGGACTAGTCTGCAAAGCACATTTTATGTACCTGCTCCGCTCTGGAAAGAACCAGGTTCCAGATCTTCGGATTTACCCGACTGGAGTCTACCGACTTTAAAAAAGTCTCACCCAATTCAACCATGACCTTTATCAAAAGGTGTGGCTTATACAGTGAACTATAAGTTAGTCATGAGCGACAATAGACCCATCCGGGTGGCAGTGGAAGGCGATGAGATCATCCCACTCATTTTCAACCTAACCTAATTTTAGTTTTTAACCTGATAATGTTCTTAAGTTACATTGGTTTGTTCTATGAAAAGGTCAAATCACCGAAAAAATAAATAAGAAATGTAGAGTGTATTCTTTTCTATAAAATTAGAATTGTTGGACAAATGGACATTGAAAAAATAAATATTATTTTGGACCTTTGATGTCATGTGTATTATAGGGGAGTAAGTATTAATAAAAATATATACGAAGCTGGGCTGAGAAATAATCGGCCTCGGCAAGAGTTGTCGGCGCTAGGAACAAATGCAATTGTTTTTCGTAGAAACTATCTTTCAAGTGATTTCTGTCAAATTTTCAGCGAGCTGTGTCACTTAGTGATTAGATTCTTGTTTTTAAAAAGAAAACGAACGATGAGATCAAAATCGAACTGGATAATGTGTATGAGGATTCTGCACCTTCGTTATCAACAATAAAATATTGGACTGCCGAATTTAAACGCGATCGTATGATAATGTTTGATGATGAGTGTCCAAAAGAGGTCACCACACCAGAAGTGGTCGATAAAATTTCATGGTATGGTAATTGACGATCGATGGGTAAGAGTGTGTGAGATTGCTGAGACTGTAGGCATCTCACGTGAACGAGTGGAAAATATATTGCACGAATATTTAGTAATGACGAAGCTCGCTTCCAGATGGGTTTGCGCAATGCCGACAACAAGCGAAACCGTGTAACAACTTGAAAGGAGTGTTTGACAATGTTTAACCACAATAAGGACTTTGTGCGCCGTTTTGTAATCGTGGATGAAACATGGATTCATCACAATACGCCAGAGACGAAGGAACAGTCAAAACAGTGGGTTTTTCAGGGCGAGTCAAAGCCAAAGAAAGCCAAGGTGGGTCTGTCTGCCAACAAGGTCATGGCCACAGTTTTTTGGGATTATTCATATCGATTACCTTGAAAAGGGCAAAACCATCACCGGCGATTATTACTCAAAGCTGTTGGACCGATTCGACGACGATTTGAAGCAAAAACGACCGCATTTAGCGAAGAAGAAAGTGCTCTTCCACCAGGACAACGCACCGGCGCACAAATGTGCAGTTGCAATGGCAAAACTGCATGAATTGCGTTACGAATTTGTTCCTCATCCGCCATACTCCCCAGATTAGGTGCCCAGCGACTATTATCTGTTTCCAGACTTGAAAAAATGGCTCGGTTGTAAGAGATTTGAGTCGAATGGGGAGGTCATCGCTGAACTTCGAGAAATCGTATTATTCGAAGGGCATCGAAAAATTGGAGAATCGTTGGACAAAGTGTATAGAGCTTAAAGGGGACTATGTTGAGAAATAAATTGAGTTTTGCCAAAAAAAGTGGTGTTTTCTTGCGTAGGCCGATTATTTTTCAGCCCAGCCTCGTAACTGCGACATTTTACATAAGTAATAAATACATTCCAAAAATACATTTAGTTACTATTCCTAAACAATCTCCTACATTGTATAATAATTGATATTATTATTATTTGAAAATTTAAAGAACTTACCAAAAAATTTAAAAACCTATTTTTTAATGTTTTAAATTAATATTCAATGGAAAACACAAGTATTGCAATAAAATCATTTATTAAACTAGAAAATTCAAGGTAGAACGCTGGTATTCCAGCAAGTACAACTGTCGGTCATGTACATTTTGGATTTAAATAAAGGCGAGACTTTCGTTTTCGAGACCGTAAATCGCGAAACAAAGAAATGTGCAAAGTCTTTGTGTGGCGATTTGTGAACTATGGGTAAATATCTTTAACTTATTTTTAAAGTGTTTGGTTTGAGGTAATTCATTGATTTACATATAAATGCCAATTTTCGTCCCGAGTAATAAATTTATCTTACATATATTTTGTACCATTATATAGTTAAAGTTTCCAGTGCTATTTTTTGTTGTTAATAAGTTCAAACCATATAATTTAATAGAAAGTTTATCTAGTTGTCATAAATCATGTTTTTTTTTTATTACAAATTTGGATATATTATATTATATTCCCTAAATATAATTTGATTCATTTATTCTTGAGACTATTAGACAATTTTGTACTTATTTTAAATATACATTTGTTATTGTTTTAATACTTATTATTAATCTCTCCTCCCCTTTCCAAAACCAGTGAAATATTCAGAGCATTTGAAAAGTCTCGGCGTTTCTATTCCCTTAGGACTAGAAGAGTCCCAAACTAGTTGCCAAGAATCGCTCGACTATGCTATTAAGGGACAATTGTTGTTCTTTTAATTTTTTTATTACTTTTATTTGTCATTGTTGAATGGATGTTCCTAGCTGGTGACAGTGCTCCCTTAATAGTATATTAAGAACAATAGCTAAAGATTTATCAGTAGTTACAAGTGGTCTTTATACTTGCTGGTTGTTACGATTGAGTGATCTCCTAATTGCAATAAAATGTTCTACTTACAAGAATTGTACTATTTATATTGTTAAAATAGAAAGGTAAATACTAATGTATTATTAAACCATGTAATAAATGTATGTATGTAAAATGTAACAGAAATTCAATCTAGTTCGTAATTGTCAAAATAAAAATTCGAAAAAATTAGGCAGTTTTCAACACTTTTGGTTACTAGGTTAAGTACAACATACCAAAGTTTTAGAAAATTTGACCAGTCGCCACTTTATAAAAGGAAAGTGCGGGGTTCTTTAAATACACTCATATCCACACAATTTTTCTCAGATACCAGAAGTTTGTTAAACTCTTTATTCCATATGTTATTGACAAACAGCACAATTTTTTCGGGGAAATAAAATAAACTCTTCTAACTTATGAATCACCCTATATTAGGTCAATATATATGTTTCATTCCCGTATATTTTTACTTTTAACAATTTTCGTTATTTTAAAAAGTTAATGTATTGAGTATGCGTTGAAGTTTGTTTTTAATTGATCATACAAAATTTTGTAAAATATTTGATTGCAAAAAAAAATATTAGCGCCAAGAATTTATAGTCAGTTACAGAACATTTTTGAGCACAATTATTATTAAATATTGTTAAGGACCGATCTTTTCACCTCTGAGTAAAGTTACATGTAGGTTTACTTGACACATTAACAAACAATAGAGAGTTGAAGTGATGCTATGAATGTAAAAGTATACGTGACAATTGACATCTACGCATGCGTCAAGTATCCTTCACGTTGACGTCTACGTACATAAGCAAGCTTACGGGCTCTGGCGTATGCACGTAACGCAAATAAAATAACCTCTTTTTAACTGGGAAAGAAGAAATCCTAATATTACTTGTCATTATCTGTCATTGTATGTAAATGTCACGATGCATTTAACAACTTCAACTCATATTTTGAACTTCACAGTAAACATTATTTTTGTGCGTTGACGTTCACGTTTACGTTAACGTACTGGAAACACTTCAACTCTCTATTAGCTTTAACTCAGTGGTAAATCGTAAATACTCGTAAGTTTAAAATAATCTAACAAAACACAACTTGCTTTTCACCGATAATTTTATCTATTCTAAATGAAATATGTGAACAAATGAAATAATCTACATTTTTTGGAAAAACCAACGTATGCGTGTTTCGGGAATGGGCACCTTCACGAAAAGACGGAAAGAGCAAAAATACTGGAAATTATAAGCAAACATGAAATTTTTTTTGTTCTTGAATAATCCCGATTATTCCACGGTTATACTTTTACATTCACACACGTTGAAATTCTAAGAAAACTGAAGGGGCTACATTTTTTGATTATGTAATCGATGTATTAAAAACAAGAAAAGCTACAACTTTTCTTTTATAATCTTATTATAAAGTAGCTAAGATTCAAGATGATTACTAGAATCAATGTCCTATTCATATAAATTTTATGTGTTCTTTTTTGCTCATTCCGTAATTATGTAAAACATTATTAAAGCAATAAATTTAGTTTAAAAATGCGAATACAACAAGAACAATGAAAATACAAACATATTTGTATCCGCTTACCTTTGCCTCCTTTTTGGGGACTCTTATGGTCGTAGCTTCTCGATCTCTGTTGTTCTAACTCGGGACTAGTGGCCCTATTGAGACCGTAACTGCGGCTTCCTTGGTTAGCTGCTTGATTGGCCAATTCTTCGTTAAGTCGTTTTGCCAAGTGCATCGCTTCGTGGCCGCTTACCGTATGTGAGCTCCTAAATTATCAGTTCATTTTATCAATTATACATATGAATTTCTATGAATTTCTATGAACTTCTATGAATTTCTATGAATTTCTATGAATTTCTATGAATTTCTATGAATTTCTATGAATTTCTATGAATTTCTATGAATTTCTATGAATTTCTATGAATTTCTATGAATTTCTATGAATTTCTATGAATTTCTATGAATTTCTATGAATTTCTATGAATTTCTATGAATTTCTATGAATTTCTATGAATTTCTATGAATTTCTATGAATTTCTATGAATTTCTATGAATTTCTATGAATTTCTATGAATTTCTATGAATTTCTATGAATTTCTATGAATTTCTATGAATTTCTATGAATTTCTATGAATTTCTATGAATTTCTATGAATTTCTATGAATTTCTATGAATTTCTATGAATTTCTATGAATTTCTATGAATTTCTATGAATTTCTATGAATTTCTATGAATTTCTATGAATTTCTATGAATTTCTATGAATTTCTATGAATATATATGAATATCAACTTACCCTATAGGGATGGGATCGCTACTTTTTAAAGTACATCTATAAGGAACGCCTGGAGACTCAGGTGGAGTCTGATCTGTGTTTTCAGTAGGAAATTCTGGAGTTTTTGGCAAATTCAACACATATTTTTCCTCTTCTATGGCAATTTCTCCTTCTTCATCGATTCTCGGTGAACATCTACTCTTGGGATCTTCAGGGGTAGCCGTTTCAGAAGTATTTAAACTCTATAAAAATAAATGAAAAATTATAGAATAACCCTAATGGCCACTTATGATAACTTCCCTAGCCAACTACACAAAGTGCAAGTACCATCAAAAGAGATTAGAAAAACTTGAATAGTGCAGACAAAAAATCAGCGACCGAAATAGATTCTGACCCCAGCACCAGCTGTCAGAGCGTGTAATAGATGTCTATATAGACTGACAACAAGGGTGGAATTTCCAACTCTGCCGAATTCAAACAGAAGCAATATCCCAGAAAGCCATGCACCAAGAAGAGAAATCAAAGGTACATTCAACTAAATATTGAATGTATCTAAATATCTGAAGGTATTGGAAAAGATTATACTGTATACGAAATAAAAAACTTTTTTTTTATTCTGTAAAATTTTTTGGAAAGCTATCATTTTTATGAGTTTTTGGGACACATGATTAGACAGACACACTACTGGAACAAAAAAAAAGTATTTACTCACGCAATTTTTACTGCCCGCAGATTCATTTCTAGAATGTGGCCTAAATCCAGGGCCGGGTGGAAGATTTTTCTGGACGCAACAATTAACACCGGGACTAAAATGTAGTTCAATATGGAATCTTTCTTCGCTGTAAGGATCTTTTGTGGGGTCTTCGTATAGCATGATCACTATCTGCGACATATAATTAAGTTCAGATACACAGGAGACGTATTCCATTGCTCTACGCCACTGCTCGTCCTTTTTGACCTGACATGATGATAAAAACAAAAAATAAATAATTCGTTATGTGCAGTTAAAAAAAAAATAATAAAAAAAGTAGGCAATGCTCATATTAAATGGGATTGGAAAATATTATTTTGATATTTTTTATTTTTACTGGTTTTTATTGATTTCTATCGATTCTTTATCGAATTTATATCGATTTTTATCGATTTCTATCGATTTCCATCGATTTCTATCGATTTCTATCGATTTCTATCGATTTCTATTGATTTCTATTGATTTCTATTAGTTTCTATTGATTTTTATTGTTTCCGATTGATTTTTATTGATGTTCATTGATGTTTATTAATGTTTATTGATATTTATTGATATTTGTTGATATTTGTTGATATTTATTAATTTTCATTGATTTCTAATGATTTTTATTGATTTTTAATGATTTTTGTTGATTTTTATTGATTTTTATTGATTTTTATTGATTTTTATTGATTTTTATTGATTTTTATTGATTTTTATTGATTTTTATTGATTTTTATTGATTTTTATTGATTTTTATTGATTTTTATTGATTTTTATTGATATTTATTGATATTTATTGATTTTTATTGATTTTTATTGATTTTTATTGAATTTTATTAATTTTTATTAATTTTCATTGCTTTTTATTAATTTTCATTGCTTTTTATTAATTTTTATTTATTTTAATTTATCTTCTTAATTTATATGTTGAGATATTTCGTTGCCAAGGTGTCGGGGCATCAAAATGTGTTACATCCAATTCATACAAATTGTTTTTCACTTTTTATGAGAATAAAAAGGAGCATTTTAATTATTTAACAAAAAATTAGAATTAGAATTATGAGAAAATGCTTAAAACTTACATCTAGTAGACCACCATGTCTCAGCACCGTAATTAACGAGTGAATATGGCTCTCACTTGTGAAGTAAAGTCTGGTCCTTACATGTCTCCCAGGACTCGACACTCCGTGCGAATACCTCGGATTCAATCTATTCACAGTCTCCTCTCCAGTTTCTTCTATGTTCCTCTGCAAATCGGCTTTGATTTTTTTCAGCAAAGGAGTGCAGATGCCTTGGCCTATCGTCAGTTTCTCTTGGGACGTGAGACCGTATTCCTTTTTCCGTAAGTGTAAGAATAAGAAAAAAGAGTATAACCAGGTTAATCAGATGTGTTATAAATTATGTAGAAAATAACCAAAATAAAGACCTAAATAATGTATTCTAGCGAGATATCAAATAACTTGTCAAACGTGTTTTATTTTATTATCATAATAATAATACTCTCCCTATAATTCATCTCCTTATGAGTGAATTTTAACCCCAGAAGCTAACTAAGCTTGTGCAGGGAAGGGACGGCTATTATTATTATTATTATTATTATTATTATTATTTGTTGTGGCGCTCCGGTAGTAAATCGTTCTTTAAAAGTAGTGTAAACATAATTGTGCCATTATTTTTCTTATTATTTCTGAGTTTTTTTTAATAATTGAAAAAGAGGTTTGTTTTCGCGAGTTCTATATGCTATAAAAAAGTATTAAGTTAAAATTCACCCTTTGTAGAAATACATAATTATTATAAGGTTATTTTAACCCTCAAATTATAAACGTATTTAGATAACATAGTTACAATATTGTAGGCAGTTCTAAATACTATAAAAAGGTACATTTATCATAGACGTTCTTTTCTAAAACTCTCATATGTCCCAAGTGGGACATATTTTAATAATATTTTTCAATTATATCTCGTATCAGCCTTTTTTGTTGGCAATGTTTTAAGAAAGTAAGCTAGAGGTGTTGAAATAAATATAAGCTTAAATTTAAGGGCGAGATTGAAAATTTAGCAATCAATGAGCCTTTTATTAAAAAAAATATAAATATATATACTAAAATGGGAATGGTTAATGGCAATGGCCCCCTTCGAAAATTGGGCTTAGGCCGCCGTTACTTAAAATATATTTTCTAATACGAAATCTGTCATTTTATAAATACCTGAGGTATAACGATATCCGCCAAATATTTAGCATAAGTATATAACTCCTCAGCTTGTTCAAATTGAAGGGTATGTTGATTATGTTGCAGATCATACTTAATGCAATCGTATATATCTGGAATTTTGCTAATATCGAAAGTTTTGCTTTTGGTAAAAAAGTCTTTTTCTATTTTTCCCCATCTCCTACCCATTAATTCCCAAGTTTCACCATGATAGAGAACTGCATCTAAAGAGCAAACAAATAGCACCAAATTTCATGAAAATATACTTTAATTAAAACTATCATATTTTCTGATACCTTTTGATTTTGGATCTTCTTTTTTGACATGTACAATTTCTAAAAGATTCTTGATTAATTCCTGTACGTGTCTACAGCATTTTACTGGATTTTTAACAAATTCAAGAGCCTCGGAAATGCTCGTGGAATTGCAAGGATTAATTTTTTCTCGATCTTCCGGAGTAAAATCTCGATCCAATTGCATGAGATCATGTAATCTTGCCTTACACCTAAAAGTAATATACATATGTAGAGAATTTTATATTTTTATTTTAATTTTGCAGTTTCAGAGGACAATGATGATGAAAATATTGTGGGTGATGTTGTCGAAGATGGTAATATATAGAAAATGGTAGTTTTTCTTTTCGTGGAAATAGCCGATTGGAGTACTTTTACTAAATAGGGGTTTGCCTTAAAAATTTCTTTTGTTTTTTTTTTTATTTCTTTTCCATTTATAATTGCATAACATTAAATGACTTGGCAGAGACTGCATGCCGTTCATTGCAAGTTTTCACATGCACTTTACAGGATTTTGATTAGATATTATCTTATTAAATTTAACAAGTGACATTCTAAAATTAAATAATTAGTGTACCGAAATTTATATATTGTCTAAATAAACTTCTACATATTAATATAAAACTTATTTTAATGTCATTTGGCATTGCCATCGTATAAAGTATGGGTTGTTTCAAACAAAATAATTAATATAAAGATTGTCCAAATTTTTTACAATTTGTTTTTTAATAAATATAGTATTACCATTTTGATACACTTTTTTCTGTGTGAATAAAATTAAAATTCGGTAAATTTATACTTACATATTTTGATATTTGCTACTATCGCAGTCATTGTCTAAGAGTCCGTTTGTATTGGCGCTTTTAACCATTTGAACCAAAATAGGGGTCAGTTCCCCTTCTAGCGCTAGTAAGCCTTTAGCAAAAGCTGCTGCGGTCATTTGGACTCTGCCTTCGTCAGAGGCGTAAATTTTAAGGTCGTGACGGAAAGTAGAATGTAGTCTTAAGAGGCCTAATCCCTGAGCCCCAGCATATTCGCCTATTAAACAAAAACATACGTTTTTTGATATTGATACATAATTTATGTAATTATTACTTTTCAGAAATATAATTATTTTTAATCACAATTGATGATTAAATTTAACCAAAAAAACGACGATTTCTGAAAAATATTGTCTACAGATTTAATAACAAGCAAATTTTGAAGCTTAACAAAGCCAAATCTTAGTCCTGTAATCTTTAGGGCAACATTTACTAAAATAAAACAAAAGCACTTACCATGTAAAAATAAAATGGTTTTTACACTGGGTTAATAAATGTAATGCCATGAAAAAAATCAACTAATTTTATATTTGGTTAATTATTAATATAGCACGATTTTTTAAATTTTAAATATTCTTTTTTTTAATCCTATTTATATTTTTCAATTTTTGTTTTAATGTAAGTGCTCTTTAGATTAAATATATTTGAGAGTGTGCTTTAAGATCAAATGTAAATTGTTCAATGTGAATTATTTAATAAAATTGAAAGCCATTGAATAAAATAAAAGCCAATTTTTATTTCAACATTATTTGTATTTTTTGAGATATGAATTGAATGAACTATTTTATTGTGTCATATTGTGTCTTTTAATTTATTAATTTAGTGTAGATTACAAAGTGTAGTTTACAAATATTTAGTTGAATTCATTCAACAAAATTTTTGTTTTATTAATGATCATTTGTTGTAAATAAAGTTGAACTTGGATAACTATGAATGGGTTTTTTTTTATTTAAATGTACAAAGGACCGGCTTATGGAGAAATGGGTTTCAAAGAAATTTCCTGAACAATAGTGCCCATGGGCATGAACGATGTGTTTCAGGATTTTTCTCAAAAGGCAACTATTTTTGAAATAATTTATCCCATAATTTTGAATAATATTGTATAATTTATAGCGCAGAAAGGCTGTCCCAGAAAATATTAACCAGGCATGACTAGTTTTAGATATACAGAGCGTTGGAGTTGAAAATTGGCTATTTTTACTTTCCTGTCTGTATACAGATGATAAGAAAAGTATAGGAATCATAATTTTCTTCGACCTCGAGTTTTCGACGGATTTATACGTTTTGGGGTCACCTGAATTTGTTTTGACTATTTTCGCGATGATGTCTGTATGTTTATGTGTGCGTATGTGTGTCTACATACTGGATAACTCATGAACATATTCATAGAAAAACACCTAATTTTAAACTTAGGTTTAAATCCATCCTTCAGGGAGTTGATTTGAACATAACTCAAAAACAGATAAAGAAAAATACACCAAATTTTAAAATTAAGATTAAACTATTCTGGGGTGAACAGATTAAATTTTGGGCATAGTCGAAGCACCTAGGAAAGTACTTTATAGGGTGTCGTTTTTTTACTTTAAGGAATATCTCCGTTATTTAAAATTGAGGAAGAAAATTCTTTAACCATTTCAATACGGCTACCGTATATAGAAGACAGGAAAAAAGTTCCCTCCCGACGGCTGTCGTGTATGGACGACATCAACTGAAAATATTATTTAAGCAAAATATCATTCAATTTTCTCAATTTGAAATTTTTTTTTTTTAAATTGATTTCTTGGTTTGCAAGTGTTCCGTATATTTCCGTTCTTTTTATTTAGCAGTACTTTATATTCCTGCATCTTTGTCTCTGGAATAATTTGATAACTTTCTAGAAGCCGTTGAAAGATGGGATATATTCATTTATAGTAAAGTTGTGCGGATTTTACTGAGAACAATCTAGAAGATAGAAAAGCTCACACAATCTTTAATTTCTTGACCGTACTAAATTTTAAACAATACAATAACATTTTTAATACTTATGATAAATTGTTAGACCTAGTCAGTAGTAAGTAGCATAAACTGTTCTGTAAATCGTGACTGGTAAATTAGGATGTCTACCATCCATCTCTCTCAATGGAACTATTTGGATTTTCCACGAATCAAACTAATTTCAGTTTAAATAATAATAGCAAATCTTACAACTTGAAAAAAGCAAACGTTCTGTCTTTATATAATGAGTTTTTACACACCAATTGGATTTTTTTGGAAAATATTACTGATATTAATGTTTGCGTAGAAACCTTCTATAATAAGTTTTATAATACTTGATCAACATGTTACAATTTTTAAAAATTTCCAACATAAATATTCAATTTGGTATATTAGTGAAATTACAAAACTTATTAAAGAAAAAGTTAAGTTCCATAGAAAATTTAAAGCTAGTAGAAATATTGTTTACTACCAAGAATTTAGTAGACTTCGAGTTAAGAGGAAACCAGACCTCTCGCAAAAGCAAAAATGTTTTAAAGATTTTCTAATATAAAATTGTATTTACATGCCTGCGACTGGGAATACTTCGTGCTATTATGTGTCTTGACAATATTAAGAGCTTTAAATTTGTGCAACGATAAGGCAGCACTCTACAGAAACATTCAAGAAAAAAAAGGTGGGAAAGCATATAATTTAAAAACTACTAAATATTTATTAAAAGAAAAAGCAGCAAATGTTCATATAAGTAATACAGAATGGCGCGGATGTTTTTTTGAAATTTCTTTTAAAATTTTTCAAAATAAATACTTTTCGAAAGTCTACAAAAAATTCAAGATTTCTCCACTCTATGTTTTGTTATTGGTTGTATTTCCTGAAAATTTCACAAAAATGGGACTAAAAATAAAGGCTCAGAATGAATTATAAATTTTCTGTTCGGTTTGCCTTTAATATCAAACTTAAAATCAAGGAAGCATATGCATTGTATTTACAAAATATTCAGATCAAGCTATCTGATGAACCAAAGTTATCCTAGTCATTTGTTAATAATAAAAAGAAAACTTCTAGAATTCCTGGTAAAATGTTCTATAATGATGAATGGTATGATAATCCTGATTCGATAGTGAATGCATTTAGTACATTCTTTGAAAGTGTCTATTCTTTGCCAGAAGATAGTGACGACTTGAATTTGCAATTATACTATGATCCTAATATGCTATTAAACATTAGTAGTGAAGCAATAACGGAAAAAAATCCTAGATGGTGGTAAAAAATTAAAAAATGAATTCACCTCGGGGTCAGACAAAATACCTTCTTTTCTCTTAAAAGATTGCTTAATAGCATTAATACATCCGCTAAAAACTCTTTTTAATCTAGTCATTAAAACTTCAGTCTTTTCAGATGTTTGAAAAGTAAGTAAAATCTTTCCCATATATAAATCTCAAGATCGCGCTGCTATAAACAATTATAGACCAATATCTATTAATAACGCTGCAAAACTTTTTGAGGTCATTTTGTATAACCGCATCTATCTGCTAAAAAATGTATATCTATGTTAGATGGCTTGGATCTAATTTAACTTTTTAAAAAAAGGTTATACTTGTTAAAGAATATATTGAAAGATTAGTACATGTTGTGGGCATAAGATGTGAGTAAAAACTAAAGTATATTAGTGATGGAAGTACTCGAGTATAGGAATCGGATAATACCCGATTCCTAAAGGAATCGGTAGTATTCGAATACTGACGACCAGCGTCGGAATCGGAATCGAAATATTAGACGATACAGCTGCGAATCACGATCCGTCTTGTACCGCTGCTCACTGCTGATGCTGACTGAAACGGAATTAAAATATGGAGTCGAGTCGGGTTCGGGGTTCGAGACGCTGGAATCGCCTGATAATTGGATCGGTGTCGGTGATCGTCGTTATACTCGGTTGATGCAAGTACTCAGTACTCGGTATTCAATAAAATACCCGATTCCGTGAAGTACTCGAGCCCTTAGTACCCGATTCTCGAAAGTATCCGATTCTTCCATCACTAAAGTATATTACAAAAATGGTTCTATATATAAGGTCACATATGCTGACCTCAGCATCAGCAGAAGTGCAGGTGCATCTACGCTGCATTCTGCGAAAGCTGTAACATGATATGTTTTTAGAAAGGAAGTTGTTATCGCCTGTAATTTGATATATGAGATAAGGGTTATGAGACGCATATAACATGTATATATCAACATGGATTCATGACTTCTCGTTCAAGTGTTAGTAATCTGGCAGTTTTTAGTCAATATCTCTGTGAATCATTAGATAGTAGAGGACAGGTTGATTCAGTATATACCGATTTCTCTAAGACCTTAAATAAAATCAACCACAAAATAATTCTCCAAAAGCTTTCTAGTTTAGCTTTTGATATTACTTAAGTACATCTTCTTAATTCGTATTTAACTAAGCGCAAACAATGTTTATTATAACGGATTTAATTCTAAATATTTTACTACAACTAGTGGAGTTCCTCAAGGGTCCAATTTAGGACGACTATTGTTCTTAATATTTATTAACGATTTGTGTGACTCGCTTGAATGCAATAGGTTAATGTTTGCAGATTACTTAAAATTATATACCAGTATCTTTAGCATAGCTGATTGGTTAACATTGCAAAATCAAATTAACCTATTGCAGAAATAGTGTCACAGAAATTGTCCTTTTTTAAATATTTCTAAATGTAAAATTGTGACTTATAGCTGCAAACATATTTCTCTGAATTTTCCTTTTTGCATTAATAATATTATTTTGGAAAGAACAGACACTATTAAAGATTTGGGTGTTCACTTTGATTATCAAATTACTTTTAACTACCACATTAACTCTATTGTTAATTCAGCGTACCGTGCATATGGTTTTATAATCCGGAATTGTAAGAATTTCAATAGTCCCTCGGTATTAACTTCCCTATATTTTAGCTTAGAACAAAATTAGAATATTCATCAATAATATGGCATCCTATGTGTAGCAACATGCTTGCACTACATATCTTTATCATTTTTACTACGTCATACGCATTAAATTACTGTATTCATTTAGATAACTTTTCGTGGCAGTTCTAGCAAAGACAAAAGGTTGAAATCATCGCATGGGAAAATTGTTTATAATAATTATGACTTATATTTTATTTTATATACAAGACATGTCATTTTTGTATATATCCCACACTATAAACATTCATTATTCAGACATTATTAAGAAAATTCAAAAGAAATTCTTAAAAAGCCTACATCTACGTCTACATCTAAAATTTTATTTAAAATAGCATAAAGAGTCTACCAACTTTTTGATTCACCCTGTATAGAATGTAGTATTCTCAAATTTTTATTATTTAAGCCAAGGCTAAATCAGAATGATATTAATTTGGAGAATATTCTCTTGTTAAAGTGAAAATTAAAATTCGATTGTCAGTAATTTATGACTCACCGTGTAACTAATCATAATTTACGTCATTTGTTATATTGGAAATATTGTTTGATATCAGTAAAGCATTATTCTCGAAAAATATCTGTCTGTTAAGTGGCACGCCATAAAAAAAAATAATGGCAAATTTTTAACTTCAATGCCCTGTATATCAAAAACTAGTCATAATATTGACACCATTGTTAAGTAACTCGACAACTGCATCATATCAAAAATTCAGGAAATTTCAATGAATCTCAGTTTTCCATTATTACCTCGGGAGAAAACTTATAGAATTCCGGGATAAAATATCAAAGTACTCAATACTACCTAATATTAACTACTTAACTAAAATAATTTAATTAACAATATGTTGCGGCAATTTTCTAAAAAAAACGTAACTGCCGAATATATACAAAATTGTAGAATACAAAATAAAAGTGAGGTGATAAAAATATCAAACTAACGCAGAGGCAAATAAAAAATGACAGTGCTGAAAAAACAAAAGGCTTAAAAAGCAACAAAAATACCAACCAGCCAAATGTCTACCTTGTCCTCCTGGATACATGCAACGGAATATTCTTCCCAGTTCTTCCGCTTGGATTCTACCAGCGGGAGTTAATTCGCCGCCCCATTTTAGTATTAAGACCAACGAAGGTTCCGCAGGCTTGTCTACTAAAAGAAAAATCACCCGTCAATGTTACTTTTACAATTTAATTATTTGAAACAAATCCCGATAAACGTCATTAATATAATTGAAAGATCGTTGGAAATGTGGTGAAACTTTTTTTATGTATTTTTTTTTTTCACCAGATTTATAAATCGGAAAAGTCATCTGGAAAAGTGTGAGTGCTTAAGGACATATTAAAAATCGTTTGAAACGGTTTGGCTAAAATGTAGTTAAGTAAAACCAAATAACCAGGGATATAATCACATCCTTAAGTATATTTCATATATTTTAATGATGGTAAAACTGGTTTAACTCAAAGTGGTTTATGTCGATGGAAATATTAATTTTTAAAGGGAATTTGAGTTGAAATTCAACAAACCAGGATAGATTGGAGGAAACATATACCTATTGTCAATCCCATCTATGCAAAAAGGTCAAAATGATGATAAGATAATTATTAGAAAAATCCCGACATCATTGAGATTTGATCCTTGGATTCAGACATATATCCACCCACTCTCCATTAGTTGTTATTATTAGCATTTTATGTAAATAGATCTTGGGAATAAATGTATTTTGACAGACTTACCATCATCTGAACTAGACCCTCTAGGCCTACCTTTAGGTTGATACTTCATTTGAACTTTCCTATTAATACCGGAAAAATGTCCATACCTACAAAATGGAAATGACTTATTAGAATTTTAAATACAGTTTTAAATTTAATTTTATTACATTAAATACTGTTAAATGTCTTACTTACATTTCCAAAACAGCTTTTAATTGCTCGAGTTTTCCCTGTTTTTCTTCAATTTCGGGATCAGCTTCATGGTGCTGAATTTCAGTTAATAACGATCTAGCTATATCTAAAATTTCTTGTAATTGTTTTGGCCTTTTTAGCTTAACATGACCGTGCTTGTATCCGTCGTATTTTTCGAAAATTTCAAAGAATCTAAAAAAATAGTTTTATAAGAGGCTAGATACTCCATAATTAATTTTAACAAAATATATTTAGAACAATGCAAATATATGATTTCGGAAACAAATAATACCGAGCCATGGAATTAGGAGACCGGTGCCGCTGAATCGGACGGTACCACAATGCGCTCGTCGCAGCATCCTCGAGGGAACGGGAACACTTGAATTTTAATAGGATGAAGAATGCAAGCAAATAGGCATTTATGCTCGGTAAAGACATTTTTTATTTTATTTCTTAAATAATTAGTTTTTCGGGATATTTAATAAAACATTATAAAGTGTTTATACAGGGTGTTATAGCATACAGGGTGATAAATCAATTAAAAACAATAATTTTGAAGTGCAAGCCATAATATTTATAACAAAAACTATTAATTAACTGAGTTGGCGATAGATGGCGATTAGATGCACCTCTGCGTGATAATCCAAATGTTCAATGATCCTCTGAAGATATTTACTTTGTTGACAGGTTTTGTAGGTCGTATTATTTTCATTTTGTCAACGATCGATCGCCAAAGGGTAGAATATCGACCGAGCCGGATTTAAATAATTTTATAAAGCAAAATACATATTTTAGGACGTTTTTATTGAAACTACATATCTATTTGGTTCTTATATTAATAAGTGGTATTATAACTTTTATGAGAAAGGCCTGGAATGTTCATTATTATATATATGTAAATATAAATATCCAATGTGTAACCACTAATATTGGAAGGCAATGTAGGTTTTATTGAATTTTGAATACTTACTTTGGATGACGAACTTCTACCTTCATCTTTTGCTTAGGCGTCCGATCACCGTGTCTAATGACGGCTACTACGCATCTCAATTCCATCATTTTACCAAAAGTAGTAGGAACTATGGGTGGATCATCTAGTTGGAAAGGTACTGACCAAGGTATGTGAAGCGTTGGCGCTAATTCTCGTAAAATCATATTTCCCAAAATCCTAAAATTAAAACAATACTAAAGACGAGAAGAACAAGGAGTGCAGTAATTTAATATGCAGAACATAACACATATTCATAAAGTACACATCTTTATTTTCTCATCATCCTCTAAGGCTGATTTGTAATTATCCTGAAATTTGTAAAACAATAAAAAAAATTATGAATCATAGTTTTACTCCTAACCATAACCAATTTTAGCCAGTTGAAACACCGTGGTAAAATATTAGTTTTCTTGACGATTGAAAACACATATAATTGCTTTTATTTTACTTACCTGGCGCAATCATCGTAGTATTTGTTAGAATTTTTGACAAAACTAAAACCATTCACATCACAAACGAAAGACTTCCCGTTGGCTCTGAGCAAATCGAATCCACAAACGGCTTGTTTGAAAGCTAAACAGACTTTTCGAGAAATCAACTTTTCAGCGTTACTGAGTATCACAGGATAACGAATCTCTTTGCCGTCGCGATCTCTTTCTACTTTGCCGTCTAGAGCTGGAGACTTTCTAGCTTCAGCATGGGCGTAGTCTGGGCCTACAGTATACACCTAAAAAAAATAGTAAACGTATTACAGATATCAATTAAAGTTTATCCAAAGTTCGTTATTCAGTAGAATATTGTACAAATTATTTTAATATACATTTTATATAATAATAATAATAATACTCTCCCTAATTCACCACCCCCTTACGAGTGAATTTTAACCCCAAAAGCTGAGCTTGTGCGGGGAAAGAAACGGCTATTATTATTATTATTATTTGCCGTTGCCGTAAAAGATCTTTACAAAACGATACTACATATTCCTTAGACTAAAAAAATTGTTATGTAAACCCCAATGTATCTTAACTGTTAGAAGTTTAAAATTGGAGTAAGTGTGTGTAGAGAGAGATATGCCGACCCCGACACCGAAACTTGAAATTGGAGTGTGTGTGTGTGTGTAACCAGATAATGAATTGTTACGTGGCAGGCGATGCGGATAGGGCATAATTAAAAAGATACTCTTATAGCTATAATCATAAAGATTGAGTCATTTGTCATATATGTGTACAAGTTTTCCAATAACCTCCTCACATAATGTTGCCGCTTATGAATTTAAATGAGTCTTGACACTGTCTTAGAGCTCCTTGTTAGTTTGGAAGCGCTGCCCTCCCAGCCATATCTACATAAAAATGTTTTTATAATTTATTTTTATTAAATGAATATAACTTTTGAATTAATAAAGTTAGCACTATACCAAATCACCAAATATTTGCAAATATTGAAAGGCGACTTCGTGAAAATGGTAAAGTTGAATCAAGGGATATACATCGAGGGCGAACGCGTAAAACAAGAACTGTAGAAGTTAAGGAACACAAATTGAATGCGGTCGAACACGATTTGATAGTACTAGACGTGTTAGAACACAACATGGCAAACAGGGAAAGTATTGTTAATTTTAATAATATAGAGGTTGAATCTTACATTTTTATCGGGACGGTGGTGTAGCGGTCTATCGCGCTTATATTCATTTATAGGCAAGTTTATGAGTCTGAGACTGCTGGGCTTCGAATCCCAGACCAGACCATGTGGATTTTTAATTAAATTGCATGGTTCGGTTTAGGATTTGATGTGTGGCGTATTAATAGAAATTAAATTGACTTGTCGATTAAAAAAAAATCGCCATGCATTACCGTCTCGATGATGGTGGGTGACGTTTTCCGGGTTTTCCTCACCTGTAAGTCAAATGGCACCATCAATCATCTTTAAGTCGCCCCGGAGCGCCACGGCAAATAATAATAATAGCCGTCCCTTCCCCTACACAAGTCGTTCAGTCGACTTCAGGGGTTGAAATTCACTCGTAAGGGGGTGAATTAGGGAGAGTATTATTATAATACATTTTTTGCGAAATGTCGAAGTTTGACAAATTTTTTGTTAATTATAATTATTTAAGATGAAAAGCAGAGGTAAGTTAACTTAATTAATTTACCAAATTTTCTTTGGTGTATTTTTTACAGCCATTTTTTTATTCTTTTTCAATTTCTTTACTTTATTACATTTACATAATTGATTTTATTGTTATTTTGGCTAATGAAAATAAATAATGACATATACTATTATTATTATTTATAGACCAAATTAAGTTAAAAATTGTATAACTTACTTTGACATCCGTTCCATCAGTTGGCATGAAATCTTCATAAATAAAACTTCCTGTTTTCCTAACTCGAGATTCTGGAGAATATACGCTGCTTCTACTACCAATCTAAACAAAAAAATAGTATTTTATGATACAAACCAATTTAAATAGAACGATTAAACAAATAACCACTGAACACCTGGACACAATATATAAAATAACTAGATAAAATTAATTATTATTAGTCCGTCGAAAGCCATACAATAATTCTTGTTTGTTGATATAAATATTTGGTTAATACATACATGGTGTCAAAAAAAAAGTATGGATAATTATCATCGAATCTAGTAATTTGACATTTATAAAATTTTTGGCATTAGAAGCAATCAGATATAAAAGATTTTTGTATAAAATCCAATTAGGAGGCTAGGGAATTTACCCTTATAATTTTAAATGGAAATCTAGGACTCTGATTTGTGGCAAATTATTTATAAGATTTTACAACTCTCGGCTTCATTATATAAAACACATTTTTGACTTACTTTCCTAAAAAGTCGTTGACTACCCCCGCCCGCTGATGTCGGGTAATATATATAAATATTATGGTCCTCAGCTGAAACAGGTTTTTCTACAAATGGTTTGTTAAAAGTAACACCATTAACTTCTACATGATCTTCAGATTCGACTAGCTCATGATCTAAAAAAAATAATTATTACATTATACAGTGTGTCCCAAGAAGTTTCATACAAATGGGAAACATTTTTCTTACGTTTCACAAAAAAAATATTCTCGATAAAAAGTTCTGCATAAATTGGAAGTACATAATCAAGCATCAAATTTTTATACATCAAAATCATTTAAAAATAAATGCATATTTTTTAATTCCTATCATTATTCTTCATTATAAATTATTATTTTTATTTTCCATGTATACTGCTATTTTACAAAATTTAATGCTTTAAAACATTTTGAGACACCCTGTATATTATATTACGTTTCGTCTTCCTTTAGAGAATGTACACAGGGTTTCAAAATTACAAGTAAATATTTTAACAGGTAAAAATAAGGAAACAAATTCCTATTATGCGTTAAAAAGGAGAAACATCCCTTTGAAAAGAATCCCCTCCCCTGAAGATGGTTTTGTGACGAAATCTTCGAAACCGGTACCGACAAAAAAATGTAACATTTAATTAGAAATGGTTTTCTTACATTTTGGATCTAGGCTGTCTCTATCTAAAACAGCGTAACGAGGGATTTCTATTCCTTCACCGTCAAGAGTGGAATACACTTTTCTTCTATCTTGAATATCATATTGCATATGTAGATTATTTATAACAAACGGATTATGTAACTGAGCGTACTGAATGGCTTTATCTAAAGGAAATCCTTTAGAATGGAATGATATGAGACAATCACATACTGGCCAATCTTCTACTAACTTCTAAAAGAACAAAAATGTTTAAAATTAATCGTAGAAAATTTTAAAAAGAATCTACAATTCTATTACTAGTCCAGCTGTATAGTATATGAACCTTATATATTGTTGACAAAATAATCAGGTTTATGTATGGTCAGATTTATCAAATAGAATATCTGATACATCAAAATTTTCTTTATTTACCTGCAGTATAACTTCTTCCTCGAAAACGATCACTTTTATGTACTCAAACTCCTGCAAACGTGTTAGAATTTCTTTCATGGGTTTACTTTGAGTTTTCTTTTCCATAGCGCAAACGCCCACTACGACCACCTTGCCTCCATCGTCGTCCATGTCTTGGGGGCTTATACTTACATCGCTTGAATCGCATAGTTCTAAATCACCCTTGAAAAAAAAATAGTGTTATGAACAATTTTATCTAAAATGCTTTCGTTTATATTGTATCACGTCCAGTTTGAGTTTACATGTCTTTTTAAAGTAAATAATTACATTTTATTAAACATAGTATTTTAAATAGATGGAAGAATATTTAAAACAAAATTATGCCATGTGTTTAATTTAAAATAGCATATATTGGAAATGACGTCTCTTAAAATAATAATATTTCTTATTTAATTATCTGAATTTTAAATAAAATTATTATTTCAAGTAGCATGCAAGCTATTGATTGATTTGAGTGAAGATTAAAATTTTTAATAATTCTCTGTAATTTAAACGAATTGAATTTTGAATGGATACCTATTTCACATTTATAAAAAGTTGTATTTTTAATGTTTAGCTACGTTGTTCAATTAAGTATTAAGGTATTTTTTTTTAGCAATTACGAACAACTACTAGACTAATCGAATTGCAAACATTCACGTAGTTGTCAAATTATTATTAAAGAATTGGGATAGTTTCCAAGGATTGTTTATGGTTATAATTCGGTATTGACTAAACATAAGGCTCTAAATAGCACAAATAGGCTTTCAAAATTACATTAGAGAATTATATTTATTTGTTTATAGTACGCTACAGATACATAAAGTTCTAAATGCTACATTTAAAATATCAATTAAAATAAAAATAAAAAAGAAATTAATAAAATTGTCACAGTATAACAATGAAGTCAATAGTGTAATGAAAGTTGACGCTTTAAAGAAAACAAACATGTATTAAAAATGTTGTAATTTGAAAAATAGTTAATGTAATTGGACATCAGTCGATCTACAAATGAGTATTTACATAAAATAGTTTAATCTGCCTAGTAAGTCTGGCAGGAACAAGGAGTCTAATAAAATGTACCAGGCTGTCACTATCAATCAAACCGTTCAGTAACTTATACAGGAAAACAAGCGATGCTTCTCGACGTCTGCATTCCAAACTCTAAGTCCGCACTGTGGTCCGCACAACAGAATTTTGGTTTGGTAATCTATATTTTGCGATGGAAGCCTTTTTATTTTGCACTCTTTCTAATTTATCAGTATGACATTTGTAGTTAGGTGCCATAGGTGCCCAAATCACTGAGCAGTATTCTAAAATGCTTCAAACTAAGCAGTTGTAGAGACTCTTCAGAGTCATAAATGTGCTTGGTGTTCCTTTTGACAAAGCCCAGCAGTCGAATATTGAATTTTTTTTTTAAATTTATTTATTCAAGTTGACAATTGAAATTTATGTAGAATTACCTTAGAATATCTGCCTATTTAAAATGACAACTTTAAATTTAATACTTTTCAATTAAAGACTAGGCAGCCTTACTTTATCAAAACTGTTTACAGTTTCCCCGGTTAACCCTACAGGGGTGATACAATAGGTTGTACAAAATAACAGGAAAAAACCTGTAATAACTAGACAAAATTCATGTGTTGGATACATCAGATTTTTATTTAAGTTAAACTAAAAGAAAAAAGTTTCAAAGCACATTTTTAAAGAAACTACACATACATATTAAAATTGTGATATATGTATAGATTTATAATCAAATTTAATCACATCAATCAATTTTTAACAATATTAGTAAAGCATAGTAAGCAAAATGTATGTACCTGTGATTTTTCCAGATCTAATTCAAAATGAAACATGATCGAAATAAGTAACTTAATTCATTGGCGAAAATTAGAGACTTCGTTGTTAAATAGATTAAATTTGTAATCACAAGATATATGATAAATAAATATAAATTGGGTAAACAAAAGAAGCAATATTAAATATAAATCTTGTTGAAATTAGATTAAAAATTAATAATAAATGTAAACAAAAATCTACACTACGATACATTTATTCTTTACCGACGTATTTATACAGGATGTTCCAATAATTGTTTTGTTACACCGACAAGGGCTGGCGTAATATATAATTTGCCACGATTTCACAATAGTAACCTAATTATAGAACTTTATATAGAATTCTGAAATAGGAATAGGATATCGTTAAATTCCTTCTTTAATTTTTTGTTCTATTTTAATAAAGATAAAATAAATTAGAAATGTATTCGAGCTAAAGTTTCTTTTCATATGTCGGAATTGCGTTGTAAAATACAGTTAAAGACTTTTGCATTATAAAAATTGTTAACTCAGGTGTTAATTAATACCATCGGTATTTATTCAATTATTCGTCAACTTAGAACACAAATTGTATACATATTTACACCGCTTTAGAAAACTTGCTTGTAGAAAATTCAATCGCTATAAGGACAAAATAAAGTGTATAGGTAGTTTAAAATTAGAGTGGTTGTGTAGCGATAGATAAAATTCAGACTCAAAAGCATTTTTATTGTTGAACGTTTGAAATTAGAGTGCCTAGTAAGACCTGTTGACGATTGAAAGTTTGTAAGCGGAGTGAATATAAGCGATGATGTGTTCAACTGGCGATTATTACATTAGCAAGTGAAATTTTTATAGAATTGTTTGTGAAATCTATTAAGTAGAAGTAAAAGAAATGTGTTTAGCAAGAGATAGAGTATATATGTTGAAATGCGGTTTGATTTTGAATAATACTTGAGTACGTGACGTTTTACGCGCTTTGAAGACAATCTATTTAGCTTATTTTTGAAATATACTATAACTCTTTACTCACATTTGCGTTTACTTTGTTAGGCCATGTAATTATCGAACAATCCTCGTATATAGTCACTTTTTTATTTGCGGAATTATTATTGTAATTTTTTAATTGTACACCGTAAATGCAAAATAAACTATCATTATTATTAAGTGTTCAATTTGTAGACGTCTTTTGTTCAGAAATAAGAAAACTGATCGCATATATGACAAATATTAATAAATATTATACATAAGCCTTCGTTTCCATTGTATAAGCTTAAGTATAAATTCGTTGGCGATAATTTTGCCGAATTAACATAGGTAGGTATAAATAAATACTATATAAATAATTTTGATATTGTAAATAAGAAATTAATACCGTAATATATTTCGGAAAACTGTAAAAACCTAAATTTGTATTTTAAATAAAATCGATTAATAATTTTCAGAAAAAAAATACACACTTCAAAAGATTCATTATAAAATGACACAGATTTATTTTCAGCAGCTCTTCGGTATTTTCTCCACTTTTTAAAGAACCACCAATCTTTTAACTTGGTCCATTCCATCTCGATTAGTTTTTATGATTTTGATATTCACTTCACTACAAATTTGATGTATCTAAATCTTGTATTCTTTAAGATCTAAATAATCGTTTCCTTGACTACAATAATTACAAACTATTGACAATTAAAAATCAGTTATCTGATATAACGGGTGTATCTTATAGTGGTATCCGAAGTTTTTTTTAAATAATTTGAAAAACAATGAATTTTTTGTAATAAATGTTATTTAAAATGAAATTGGATCCATTACAATTTATTTGGTCACTTTTTGAAGATGACATCGGCCAAGTGGCCACCTCCGGACGCCACACATAAATCGGTCCGTTTTTCGGCATTTTCTATCACCTTTTGGAGTGTTTCGGGTTGAATGGCAGCGATTTCTCGGCTATGTTGGCCTTAAGTTGTTGAAGAGTGGCTGGTTTATCGGCATAAACCTTTCCCTTCAGGTATCCCCACAGGAAAAAATCAGGTACGGTCAAACCTGGTGAATGAGCCGGCCAGTCGAAATCGCCGTATTTCGATATCAATCGATTTGGGAACATGGCACGCAATAGTTTTTTTGAAAATAAATTTTTACAATTTCAGCACGTTGTTGTGGTGTAAGATGGTTCATTGTTAAAATTGTACTGGACTGACGTCTCTAAAACATTAACAAACATGGCGATCTGTCACCTGGTTGTCAAGTTATTTGAAAAAAACATCGGGTACCACTATAAGATATACCCTTTACTTATTCGCGATTAAAATAAATTTTACCGCGCTGTGTAAGTAGGTTATAGTATATTACATTACGAGTGTGGAAAGTGACATTTTTCACACGAGTGGGAAATATTGTCGCACGAGGCGCAAGCCGAGTGCGACTATCACACGAGTGTGGAAAATCACTTTTCACACAAGTGATGTACAATATTTTTCCTACGACCACAAAATAATGTCATCAAAAAAATGTAAAACCAAGGTTATTATTACTATAATAATTAAAATGTATTTAAAAAAAATAATCAACAATAATCGTATTTATTCAATTTTCATATTTTCTAAACAAAAAAAACTAAAAAAAAAAAAATAAAAAAAAACAAAAAAAAATTCTGCCCCGACAGGATTTGAACCATAGATTGAACGCGGTCGAAAAATGGCAAAGTTGATAAGTTCGACGTCCTAACCAGCTGAGCTAACAGCCCTTGTGTCAATTGAATGATCTAATCGGTTATGTATTTAACAAAAATAAAGAGCAAACATTATTTTAAAATTATTTTAATAATAATTGTTAAAGACAAATATCTAGGATCTAATTTAAAACAATTTCAATAATTTAACAATCATATCGATTTTAGTATTAATATGGATATAACATAGATAAAAATAGAAATTAGCTTACAAAATAATATCAAAAAAATGTAAAACCAAGGTTATTACTATATTAATTAAAATGTATTTAAAAAAATAATCAACAATAATCGTATTTATTCAATTTTCATATTTTCTAAATAAAAAAAAACTAATAAAAAATAAAAAAAAAAAACAAAAATAATTCTGCTCCGCCAGGATTTGAACCATAGATTGAACGCGGTCGAAAAATGGCAAAGTTGATAAGTTCGACGTCCAAACCAACTGAGCTAATGGGCCTTACGTCAATTGAATGATCTAATCGGTTATGTATTTACCCAAATTAAAGAGCAAACATAATCTTAGTTATTTTAAAATTATTTTAATAATAATTGTTAAAGACAAATATCTAGGATCTAATTTAAAACAATTTCAATAATTTAACAATCATATCGATTTTAGTATTAATATGGAC